GACTCATTGTATTTTTGGTGTCTATTTTTGGGTTGTAATCAATCAAAATGAGATTTAAAGATTGGTTAAAGAAGGTTTATTACCTAGTGAGGCAGAGGAGCCTAAACCAAACTTGTGAATCTTGTTTTGAAGGATAGATAACTCTAAGGGCTTAATCAGCCAAATGAAATAGACATAAAGAACAATTGGAGTCGGTACACACGTACACGTGTAGTCTTATGAACATCCAATCAAGATTACTCACGTTTTGGAAAAATTTACCTGTTGCGACACAAGTCTTATACTTTTGGTATATTCCGAGAGGGTCAAGACTGATGTGGAGCTCAGATTAGGTAAACTTATCAAGACACTTCGATCTGATCGAGTATTTGAGTATTTCTTGGGATAGTGCAAAGACTATATGGTCAATGAGGGTGATGTGTACCAGTTTTCCGCAATTGACGCTAAATTAATTTAGGTGTCAAATAGGAATAACAGAATTCCACTTAACATGGTTAGATCTATGATCAGTAATGCCACATTATCTCTTTCATTTAAGAGTTTAGCGTTAATGACATCGATGCGCATTATGAACTGCATTCCATCTTAGTCTGTCTCAAGGATACCGTTGAGCTGTGTTTTTGACTAAATATTAGTTTGAATCATATGCACATATGGGGTAGTCTTACACACGTGCGTTTGATATGGACAAGTAAGTTGGAATCAGATCATAGGCATGCTAGATTTGATAGCTACTCTAAATGTCACTAGGATGGATTATTTTATGATCTCAAAGATAAAAGTTGATTGTTTTCACTCACTGTTTATCTATAGGAGAATCATATTATGAATCACATACCTAGTAGCATAATGTTAGAGAATTTGGTATGAGTACCAGATGTACCACATGTGAACACACTTATTATAGAGATTGAGAATAATATATGAATTCCCTATTGATGCGTTAGCATCATCTACTACACAGATTCTTGCATCGGTACATTGATGTAGTGAGAGGATTATCATCCAATTCGACAGAATCATGTTTTTAGGTGAGACCATTATGGACATCCCTGTTAAACATGAGTTGGACCCAGTAAGCTACACGGAAGCGTGAACCGATGTGGATACAGATCGTTTTGGTGAGTTACTATGAAATCAGAGTTGGAATCTATGTATTCTAATAAATTCTGGGATCTTGTAGAACTTTCTAGTAGGGTGATTCCTATGGAAGGCAAGTTAATCTACAAAAAGATACCAGAAGATTTCTTAGTGAATAAATCATGAGTGTACAAGGGAATGTCATTATTTTTCTTAATTCTATATATTGATGACATCCTACTCATTTATAATGACGTGGAAGTTTTGTCATCAATTAAAAGGTAGTTGTTCAATTACTTTTAAATGAAGGAATTTCAAGATGTAAGCTATATTCCTAGGATCGAGCTTTTGCAAGATCAGGTTAAAAGGAAAATAGGCTTATCTTAATAATCCTACATTGATAAAGTTTTGACCAGGTTTGGTATGCATAACTCAAAGAATGAGTTCTTGCTTTATTGATATGGATCGCTCTCTCTAGTAAGTAGTTTTTCAAGACTAGCAGAGGAGATTGAGCAAATGAGACTGGAACAATATGTTTCGGCATATGAGAGTCTCATATATGCCATGGTCTATACCAAACAGGACATCCGCTACATGGTAGGGATAGTCAGTAGAGATCAGTCCAATACTGGACTTGACAACTGGTCTATTGTGAAAAATATCATTAAGTACCTAAGGAGAATCAATGATATCATACCCATTTATGGATGTGATGATATGGTCCTAGTCAGGTATGCTAGTTCTGATTTTCAATCAGAAGTAGATACTATGAGGTTCATGACTTAGTGTATGTTCACTTAATGGAAGGGAAATCAGTTGGTAGATTGTCAAACAGATTTCAACTGTTGACTCAAACCTGCAGGTGGAACATATTGCAGCCTTAAAGGTGGCAATATAAGCCTATTGGTTTGATCTCACTGATTTAGAGGTTGTGGAGCATACTAGCCTGCCTATCGAGCTATATTGTGACAATAGTGCAGAAGTAGTCCAAACCAATGACACAAGGTTCCATAGAGGAACAAGATACACTGAGAGGAAGTATCATGTTCGACATGATATTGTCCGGCAAGAAAATGCACTTGTAGTTAAAACATTGCATTGGAACACAACTTTGTTGATCCATTATCAAAGGTGTGATTGATCAATAATTTTGATCATCATCTGGATAACATTGAAGTTAGGTGCAATTTGAATTGGCTATGAGGGCAAGTGGGAGCTGTTGGGATTTATATGCCCTGGCATAGCAAATTCCTATCTGGATTGTATTGACATATGTTCCTGACATATCTGAAATATTTATGATTTATATAATTGGTGAATTCAATGTATTATGTTTCAATTCACTATGAAATTGATAGTGTCCAGTTAATTACAAGAAATATTTATATATATGTATGTGATGACAATCAATGCATGATATATAAATAGTAATTATAAATTGTTCATAGTCGGTAATTATGGATGGACTCATAATTAATTAAGACTTGAACTGGATCCGCGTTAGGTTGAGATATATTGCGAGAGCCGTCGTATGCAATTACTCCCTATCACCGTCATGGCATTTGACTCTTAAGCATGAAAAAAGTATAGACTCTTTTATTAATTAATAATTACTTTGATTTGTTCGGCGGATTCTTCGGGATCCTTAGACCGACACTTTGGGTAGTTATGTAATTAATAGTTAGAGGGTTATATTTTCAATATTTGCATCATTGCTACTTGTATTTATTTTGTATTGATTATGGTTGATCACAAAGTAAATTCGAAGGCCTTCGTGTGTTTTTAGACAAAATGATTTATTATATATTTATTTATTTAAATTATTATTTTTGTCAAACAAATGTTTTATTGTGATCGAGCCAGAAATAATCAAAGGTACCAAAATAAATATATTAATTAAGTAGTCGGATTGATGGCTATATTTATCCGATAACTAATTATGCATAGAGGGGTCAAAGTGCAATATTGACTTAGAGGTTATTTATTATTTAATTGGAGTTCAATTAATTTCTTTTAGTGGAGTAGAAATTAATTTATGAATTAATTGAATTGGGTCCATGGACCGGGCCAATTATTAATTCATTGTAGCCAATAAAATAATAGGCCCAATGGATTCTCACTCATAGCCCAACTTGATATTGGAATCATATTAGATTTGAGACATATGAATTAGAGATGGAGAAGGATTTGTTGTTTCCTTTTCTTTATTTTTATGTTGCCTATAAATATACATGGTCTATGTATATTTTAGGGTGTGATTTTTATGAGAAGGAAAAAGGAATAAATTTTCTCTCTCTAGAAAATTAGGGTTTATGTTCTCATCTAATGGAGACTCCCACAAGCCTAGTTTTCCAAGGTCATTCATGGAGGCATATGAGTGATTCCTAAAGGCAAAAGAATTACCAAGAAGATGGAGATCCATGGAAAAGGTGTCTAGCAAAAGGGATCTACAATAAGTGAGAACATTCACTTTAGAAGAGAGATCTAAGGTTTACTCAAACCTTGATGTAAGTATTCAATCTTTTAATTGAATGATACATCATGTTTTATTTTTGCATAAAACTTGTCTCTAAGTGATGAATCAAGATCTATGAATTTAAATCCCTCGAAAAGTTTTTAAAACTAGCACGTTTCCCAACAGTTGCACCATCAGCCATAGCGTGGGCAGCAGTAGCAGGGGTAACCTTCAGCCATGGTGGTGGGTTCAGATTTCAGTTTATGTAAATGATAGTCAATCTAGGATTAGACTGTAATGATGCTCTAAGCAAAGGGCTGTATATGACTGTTTGTGGCAGAACCAAAGAAATCAAGATCAAAATGTATGGTTCATCTCGTTTGGCTTAAGAAAATGTGAAATAGTATTGATTCGATTGCAAGAGACACTTATTTGTTATTTACCAGAACTGAAAAAATAATAATAATAAATAAATAAATTACCAGAAAAAATATATATATAAAAAGAGAGGCACTAATTATTTGATTTTGCATCACTATCATCATTCATAGAACGTGGTGCTTTATGACATGTTTCTTTTACTTGTGAGTTATGGTAAATGCATCTTGGCATGGTTTTTGAATGGTAAAGCAAACACAATACAATTTTTTTTGTTCAGGTTTAAATTTTTTCCTTTTTTTTGAAAATTATATAATTATTGGGCAAATGCCACAAACCGACAAAAGTAACATAATATTAAACATCCTTTACCCAAAAAAGGGAAAAAAAAAAAATTGATGTTACATATTGCACTTCCTTGTACTCTAATATAAATAAATTCCTGGTATAGATTAAATTTCATATAATCTTATAGTATGATAGTAGTATAATTTAATGTCCAAGTAACATCACTTTAGACTCGGTTTAATTTTGACCGAATAAAAACCCCTCTCATACTGCTTTAGTGCATTTCTTTGATTCTTCGAAATTATTTTACCAAATATATTGTAATTTTGGCTCTGTTTATTTGGATGTAAAATATTTTTTAGAAATTTTTTATTTTATGATGTTTGATTACCGTAAAATATTTACGAAGAAAAATTACATTAAAATTTTACAAAAATAATTTATCCATCAATTTTTGGTAAGTAATTTTATACATTTCGCCTGAAGGATTCAACCTCAACTTAAAATTTAGTGGTTTTTTTTCTTTGGGTAAATCATTTAGAGAAACTTTTCTGGAACATTTCATATTCACATATATTACATGTTACTATAATTTATACTGACATATGTAATATATATGTTACACAATTTTAAAAAATTTGATAATATTGACAACTTGTCACGTGTGTGTAATTCAATATTTATATATATGATATATATTTTTCCTAATACGATATGATATTATACCGTGACCAGATCGTCAAAAGGGACAAACACTCTACAAGAAGATTTGTTCCCAACCTTATCTCAGCCGATATGATTGGCTTTTCTCTTTGTACCAACCGAACCAACTAACACTGTTTCCAACCACAACCCCAATAATAAGAAAATACAAACACAACAATCTCAAAACCCCATCACAAAGAACCCTAACCCATCATTCCGAAAGACAGCTTTGTCTTCTCACAGTTGCTTTGGCATCTGTGTTTTTCTTTCTTTACCAGAAAGAAAACAGCAACCGCTCGCGTGTGCCCATGGACTCGACCCCTCATGGTGTCCCTCTTTTCGCAACAAAGGCGACCCCCCATTCACCAGCTGAGCTGTACCCAAAGCCAAAGGTAGTCTCTCCTCTTTCCAACTCATCAGGTTCTTCTTTTCCTATCAGAGCACCTCCTACTGTTGATTCTGATTCTGAATTTTCTATAACAACAACAAAAGGTCAAAAACACAGTATCACTAGTTCAAGTAGCGACATTAGTGATAGTGGGTCTGAGTATGAGGGTTTTGTGAGTGGTGAGGATGAGTTTGATTCGGCCTCTGAGAGGCCATTTGCCGCAGACCCAAATGATGAAATCCTAGAAGATACTCATTATGTTGAGGAGTTTGTTGTTTCTAGGCCTAATCTAACAGACCCAGATGAAGAAATTGTAGAACAGAGTGGTGGTGTTAAGGACCATGTTGTTTCTAGGCCTTTTGTTTCTAAGCCAGTTATGCCGTTTGCCCAATTATCTGGGGATAGTGACGAGGATGCTTTGGGCATCGAGGAAGTGGAGGATGATGGGTTTTCAGGTGCCGTTCGGGTCCCGGGTAATGGGGGTTTGGAGAGGATCAATAGCGCTCCTAAAGTTAGGATTTGGGAGGTTGAAGAAGGAGAAGAATATGAGTCCGAATTCGAGCCGGCTTTGGATGTGGAAGTGGTGGAGGATTCGGCTTTGGAGCGGATTGTTGCAGAGGACTATGCTGGGGAGGGCTTTGTTTCAGCTGAATTAATTGAAGATAGGGGTCCTGATGATACTGAAGAAGCAAAAGTCGAGTCTTTGGTGGAAAGTCCAGATGATATTATGTTTGGAAATTCAGAATTAGATGGTGATGAGAAGCACTTGGTGGAAGAAATTCAAGCACCCAAAAATGTGGAGCAGCAAGAGATTGGAAACAATGAACATATTACAGAGGAGAGAGATAGGGTAGATTTGGGCGATAATGCTGCTTTAGGAATCAATGCTGGAACCCAAATAGAAATGGTGATTAACTGGGAAGAGGAACAGGAAGCAGCGGAGGGTAGTGCAAGTACAGCTACTGGAATTGATAAAGAAAGTCATGTGATTGACAATCCTAGTGAGTCTAAGCCCCTTCAAGCCAATAAGGAACTTTTTTCTACCGATGACGGTGATTTAGTTGTTAGTGAAACCAAAGACATAATTTTGACAGCCAGCAGAGTTGAATCCATTGACAGTGCTATTAGGGGGAATGGAATTCAGTATTTGGACCATAGCGAAATTTCGGAACCATACCACACTCCGGAGACCAAGTATTTTGGGAATGGTCATACTACTGAAGGTGATTTAATGGAGTATGGTTTCTGTAGTAAATTCAATAGCCTTGGACCATTGTCACTAGATTCCAGTTTGAACCCGGACGAAAAAGTAGAAACAGAAGTTGAACCGGACCGTGATGGAAGCAAATTAGAAGAAAAGAATGAATTTTCAGTTTCAGACGATGATGCTGAACCTTTGATATTTGGAGTATCAGATACGGCCAAGCAAGGAATGAATGGATTGGAGCAGAGATTAGACCCCACTTCTTTTTCAGGTGCAGGGAGTTCTCATAATCATTTGCAGATGATTGATGGACAGATTATGGCAGAATCAGATGAGGAGGCTGACACTGAATGCGAAACTGAAATTGAAGAACTATTTGATTCTGCTGCATTGGCTGCTCTTTTGAAAGCAGCAACAGGTGCTGGATCGGATGGCGGCAGTGTTAAGTTTACCTCTGCTGACAGTTCCACGGTTTTCTCTCTCAAGAGTCCTGCCGATTTAAGTGCCTTGTTGAGCTCGCCAGGACCTATTCCGCAACCAAACCGTCCCAATATTTTTACTCCTTCTGTGCTAACAGCTAGGGGTGAATCTGAGGAATACTTAAGTGAAGAAGAAAAGAAGAAGCTTGAGAAGATGCAAGTGACAACAGTGAAGTTTTTGAGGCTTGTCCAGAGAGTAGGCCGGTCTCCTGAAGATTCCATTGCTGCACAGGTTTTATACAGGCTGGTCCTTGCTGCTGGGAGGCCTTCACATCAAGCATTCAGTCTTGAATCGGCCAAAAGGACAGCCATGGAGCTTGAAGCAGAGGGTAATAATGATATAAACTTTTCTTTGAACATCCTGATTATTGGGAAAACTGGAGTTGGAAAGAGTGCAACCATAAATTCCATTTTTGGTGAAGAGAAAGCCACTGTTGATGCATTTGGGCCTGCAACAAATGCTGTGAGAGAAATTATTGGAACAATAGACGGGGTTAAGGTCAGGGTCTTGGACACACCTGGTCTCAGATCTTCTTTCATGGAACAATCTTTTAACCTTAAAGTTTTGGCTTCCATAAAGAACTTCACAAAAAAATGCCCTCCAGATGTTATCCTGTATGTTGATCGGTTAGACACACAAACAAGAGATCTTAATGATTTACCATTATTGAGGTCAATCACTAGTTCTCTTGGTTCATCAATATTGCATAATGCTATAATTACTCTGACCCATGCTGCTTCTACTCCTCCAGACGGACTGTCTGGGTCACCCTTAAGCTATGAGGTCTTTGTTGCTCAACAATCACGTATTATCCAACAGTTGATTAGCCAAGCTGCTGGTGATCTGCGTATGATGAATCCAGTATGTCTGGTCGAAAACCACCCATTGTGTCAGGAGAATGGAGATGGACAAAAGGTGCTTCCCAACGGAGAAAGTTGGATACCCCAATTATTGCTCTTGTGCTACTCAATGAAGATCTTATCGGAAGTGAACTCTGTGGCGAAAACTCAAGATCCCTTTGATTATCAGAAGCTCTTTGGTTTTCAGGGTCGTTCCCCACCCCTATCTTATTTGTTATCTTCTCAATTGCAGCCTCAAGCTCATCCAAAACTCTCTGCTGACCACGGTGGTGCGGATAATGACTCAGATATTGAGCTTCTAAATTTCTCTGATACTGATCAAGAAAGTGAGGATGAATATGACGAGCTTCCTCCTTTCAAGCCTTTGAGGAGATCTCAGATTGCTAAGCTGAGCAAGGAGCACAAGAAGGCTTATTTTGAGGAGTACGATTATCGAGTAAAGCTCCTTCAGAAGAAGCAGTTGACAGAGGAAGTGAAAAGGCTGAGGGAGATGAAAAGGAAAGGTAAAGATGGTGGGAACGATTATGAATACATGGGGGGAGATGAGGAGCAAGAAAATGGAAGTCCAGCAACTGTACCAGTTCCGTTGCCCGATATGGTACTCCCACTTTCTTTTGATGGTGATAATCCCACTTACAGGTACCGGTTTTTGGAACCCACATCCCACCTTCTTGCAAGGCCAGTTATGGAGTTACATGGTTGGGACCATGATTGTGGATATGAAGGAGTGAGTATTGAAGAGAGTCTTGCCATCGCTGGTCTGTTCCCAGCAGTGATTGCTGTTCAAGTAACAAAAGATAAAAAGGAGTTCAATATCCACTTGGATTCAGCTGTTGCAGCAAAGCATGGAGAGAATGGATCAACCATGGCAGGATTTGACATCCAGACAATTGGAAAGCAGCTTGCCTACATCCTCAAGGGTGAAACCAAAATAAAGAACTTCAAAATGAATAAAACAGCAGCTGGGGTATCACTTACTTTTTTAGGTGAAAATGTGGCCACTGGACTCAAGATTGAGGATCAGATTGCATTTGGAAAACGTCTTGTTTTGCTGGGATGTATTGGAGCCATCCGATCTCAAGGTGATGTAGCACATGGGGCCAACTTTGAAGTACGTCTCAGGGAAAAAGATTTTCCTATTGGGCAGGACCAAAGTACGCTTGGCTTGTCTCTGATGAGGTGGAGAGGTGACCTTATGTGGGGGTGCAACTTCCAGTCTCAGTTCTCTATTGGACGGAGTTCTAAAATGGCTGTTCGGGCTGGATTGAACAACAAATCAAGCGGTCAGATCTCTGTCAAGACTAGCAGCTCGGAGCAACTTCAGATTGCACTTGTGGGTGTTCTTCCGTTTGCCAATGCCATTTTCAGGAAGCTCTTTTCACGGTTCAGTGAGAAGCACTCGGCATATTAGAGGTGTCGGTTTGTATACACAAGTAACTAGCTTTTGCTGAGGGGATAATTTGGCTGAATAGGCTTTTTTAGGCTTCATCCCTCATCTCTTTGTAACTTCTAAGTTTTTGTTTGTTTGACTCTAAAATTATGCAGGTGTTTATCTTAGCTTATTTGATGAATGATAACTAAGTTGGATATTAATCATTGGTATTTCATGAGCTTGTGGTTTAGTTATTGATTTAGTCCGTTCTTGATCAGCTTGTCGAAAAGCCTTCCTGTGGCACTGTATGGCAAAATGCAGATTGGATCAACCAATATAACATGAAGAATGCTGGACTGTATCGTAGAAAAGAAACTGCATCTTTGAAATTTTGTTGGGACATGTTATCGTGTTGCTCTAGACATTGTTTCTTGTGTAATTTTCAGCGTTTTTTTGTTTTTTCTTTCGTTTACCGGGGGAATGTGAAACCTAATAGAGCTTCAATCTGAATTTTTATTTGACATTTCTTTCCAAATTAATTAAGGCTATTTATTGCATAGTGCTGAATGCATTTGGAAGGGAATGGTAGAATCTAACATCCGGTTTTTACAGTTGAGATCATTCTTTTAATTATTTTGTAGTTTATTTGGTATTATCTTATGAACCAGAAGAAATTAAGTTGACATATATAATTGAGAAATTGATTGCCATATATATTATTTTGTGCTCATCAACATCGTCATCCTTGTCATCCTTGCCTTCACCCGGTATGAACATGATTGGCCACGTGGAATTGTTAGTCTTCCTCTACATTTCAGGAACTCATAACAAAATCCATTTTTCAAAACTTATGGTGATGGCAAAACATTTGTTCATTGGGGGAATCCTTTTCAGTGCATCACATAGAGCACAGCTTCAGTAGGATTCACATGCAGGACTCATTGCCATGGAAGGTACAAGTAACAGGCAATGCATCTTCAAACTAGAAGCTGAGAATCAACATGAACACACAGACCAAATGACACCCCTTTAAAAAGCTTAGCTCAAACTTCTTTGTACACAAAGCAGCATCAAAGTTGAATCTTGTCATGAATTAACAATTTCAACAGGTGAGAAAAAATGACAGAATCGGGGTTACAGATTAATACAGCATGAAAGGACGAGTCAGTATATGATCCAGTAATTAGATGATACTCTATTTCTCATATATGATTTGAGTTACATGGATACCATATAAGATATATATTGATCTCCAATTTGAAAATAATACTTGTTCTACTAAATAAAAATGATATTCTAATAATTCTTAAATAGATTGGACTTGTTCAAGCCAATTGATATGATTTTGTACTTTGTGGTCCAAATTTTGTTTTGGTTTGGTTTTATTCTGAAAGGAAAAAAAAAAAAAAAAAAAAAAAAATTTGGTTCATTTTTTTTTTTTTTCTGGTGCGGAACAAGAGAATCTTGAATACATAAGAAAAAAATAGAGGTTAGAGTTGAAACTTATAATCTCTTTATTTACATAGTGAAATCTTTCACATAATGTTCAATATGAACATCGAACAATATAAATCTTTGTGTTTTTCGTAAATAGAGTGTTTACTTTTCTATCATCGTAATCCTTAAATTATGCCGTTACAATATTTCTTATAATAGAAATTATAACATTACAATATCTCTTGTAACAGAATTGAAGAAGAAATTATGTGTATGTATTTAGAATCTCGGATATAAACGTATTCAGAATCTCGGATATAAGTTTGGCCCTCCACTTTCCGTGGCCAATCTCTTAAAAAAAAAAATTAAAAATTAAAATAGAGACGTGACTTGTTTAACTATGGTACATGTATGTAATAATCTATTCCAGAATTAGGTTACAATTAAATTTAAATAAAAGAAGGGGAGACATGTACAAATAAATTAGAGGCAGGGGCTTTGTACCAAAATTTCAAAGTAACGCTACCAAGGCGGAAAACAGAGCCTGCGGTACTGGTTCATTTATCCACAAATCTCTCTCTCTACAATGGAGAAATTATCTCTCTACAAATGAATGGAAGCCACTTCCTTCTTTAAGCACTTGGCTGCCTCAAACCTAACTGTGTTTGTTCCCAGTGAAGCGAAAATGTCGATTCAAACATCATCGTACAGGGTATAATAGATACATTCATATATATATATATATATATATATTTATGTCTATGTACATATGCAATATTTTTTATTATCAATTATTCACGCTTTCTATAGTTCTAAGTTTAGTTCACTCTACTAAACTGCTTGTAGTGAATTAATTCATGTTTTTAGTTAATTTATGTTTGTAATGTGAAGAGTGTATGTTTGTCAATTGGTTGACGACTAACAGTGAAGAAATGAGTTTGGGGTGTTGTTTAGGAAGATATGTTAATACTTATTGCAAAATTCGAATAAAATCAGGTTCATTATAATAATATGAATTAGTGGCATGCCAATTGTTTGATCAAATGTCTCCAAGACGTGCATATATGTTACTGCTGTTACACTAATTCACAACAATTACACATTTATTTCTGTGTATATTTTTATATATGTTCTTGAAAATGTTTTTATTTATTTTTAAATGAGACCACGGCGTAAAATCATAATCAAATGGATGAACAATTAACTACTATTTTCTTTTTGATTGCAACAAGTACAAGTTATTGCAAATGAAAACACGACCTGCGAAACTACAACTTCCCTCCAGTTCCATCCTATAATATGAGTAGAAGTTTTCATGTAATTTTTAATGCCATTTGGGCAATCAAGTGAGCATGGGGCTCTGTCTGATTCTTTGGAAGAATGAGGCAAAGGAAAGGAGGGTTTCATTTTCAAGCCTTATTGAACTTCTTCCTCTCATTTACTCATTATTTTCAAGGACCAATTAGAGGATGGGGGATGTGTAAGCAAATTCCAAGAGCTATTTTAGCCATTCCGGGAAGAAAGAAAATTGTGGGACCACTTGGTTTTGATTGTTATGAATTCATAATTGCATCCAGAGCATGGCTACACAGGATGCTCCTCTGCCCAAATAGGATAATAGTAGTGGCCTTTCCACTTTGTTGCTGGCTGAAGAGTTGGAACTAAAACTATTGCAGGACACATAGGCAACTGTTAACCTTGCTGTCGAGTTTCCATTATTGATTTTCATTTTTGAAATCTGATCACTGTTCGTTACTGGCCTCAAGGGCCACTGTTTGGTTTCGCGTTTCACGCTTGAACATCAATGTTACAGGTGGGAGATTGAGCTTTAAAGCAGCCATTTTGTAAATTATCAAAGTTTAGGTTTGTCTAAGATCCCCCCTCCCCAAAACCTTGATGTAGCAGGACCAGAACTTGGTAATGCCCCTTTCCGTATGTTTCTGGCTTTCATTAAGGCTACAATTATAACATTTGGTCATAATTGTCAGTGTGCTTTGGCTAACAATATTAAAGTTCCATGACATGATGAACCACTGAATTCCTGTTCAAAGGAAAAGGCTGGGCCTATCTTGGCTCAGAAGTAATGCTTTAAATCCTTAGCAATTTGAAGTACAAATATGTTAATGGGATTTTGTCTTATAACCGTGTAAAACCTTTATATGCCTTTTTGAATGTCCAGCTTTTGCATTTTCCTTTTTGAACATGTTACATGTGACACAGAAAATTGATTTATTGTCATGTTTATATCTGTTTTTCGCGTACCTGCTTAAAAATTGAGTTCGAGTCTTATTTTTTAATCCCTTTGAATTGCTGATTGCATCTTTTAAGTCACTAATATAGGGTATTTAATAATGTTCAGGTCATCTCACTGAGGACTTGCTCGTCTTTTGGGAAAAGCACGCCTACTAACTTATTTTATTTCAGAAGAAGCTCTTCAGTTAAAGTATTCTCTCTCCTAAACCTGACATACTATTCTACTGATTCCAGTAGTGAGTTTTGTTCTTCGTCAAAACGAAGATCTCGTGGTCCTGTTATGGCAGCAAAGAAAGCATCAGAAGGTATATTAATTTGTTTATTTTGACATCAAAATATGAACATCTTGTTGAAAGATATGGTGCTCATAGAACATTCACTCACATGGCTTTCTGATTAAATTTAATTTTTACACCCCTCCCTTTTCTGACCGCAAATCATTTTCATAATGGAATGATGTGCTGGAGCTTGTTCAGGGGCAAAGCAGGAAGATGGAAGGTACAAGCACACAGTAGATCTTCCTAAGACAACATTTGGCATGAGGGCAAATTCTGCAGTAAGGGAGCCTGAAATTCAGAAATTATGGGATGAAAATCAGGTGTTTAGGAGAGTTGCTGAAAGGAATAGTGGGGTGAGTTCTATATGTTGATTTGGGTTCCTGTGGTACTGTATATAGTTTTTTTCCCTGCTCACATTGAATTGCTTTGACAGGGAAGTTTTATTCTTCATGATGGTCCTCCTTATGCGAATGGTGATTTGCACATTGGTCATGCTCTAAATAAGATTTTGAAGGATATTATTAATCGTTATAAGGTATGTTTTTCTGCCTGCTTCTGAGTTCTGATATCTAACTTATTACCCTTTCTTTTGGGTTAGTGTTTACCCCTTCATAAATCAATATTGAAAATGCATGAATCATATTGAGAAAAGGAAAGGCTTTGGTTTTGTTGGTTCTAGTTTACCATCGATTTGTTAGAAATTCTGGAAATCCTCATTTGTTGGATATTGAATATTTGAATTGAATAAAGTAGAAGTGTAAATGCCTTTGTCTTTTGATTTACTCAAATAGAAGTGCCATCAGAACATCATTACAAAGGATATCTACAGTTGTTGAGTAGCCCTAACTGAACCCGAGAGGAATCTACCAATACTCCATGTTTTACATATTTGTAGTTAAGCGCCTTTTTTTTTTTTTTTTTTTTTTTTTGTAATAATAAGACCTTTGACTATTTTTATTTTTTCAAGGAAAAAAAGAAATAACATGAACAAAAAATTATACTTTTTGTCTTTCAGAATCATCTCTACATAATCTTCCAAAGCAACAAGGGAAAAAGGCAAAGAAAATAAATTTGTTGTTTAAGAAATAAGAAAGAAAGGAAAAAAAGGCAACAAAAAGAAATTTTTTATAAGTTGTACTTTGCAGGAAGCAAAATTGAACTTATTCTTGAGCATATTGGCTGACCTTTTGTGATTGTATGAATGTTCCTAACACCTACACCTTCCCCAGGGAAAAAGAAGGTAGAGTTTGTTTGTACTTACACTTGTATAACACCCTTACTTTTCATTGTTTGTTGATACGAAGTACAAAGGAAATAAAATTTTTAAGAGGTGAAAGTTGTGTAATTTTCGGTGCAATGCACTTCGTTCTCATGTGATATGTGTAGACATAGATATGTTCAGATTCTCTTCATTCTTTCATTCTTTCATCATTACTCTCTCTCTCTCTCTTGCAGCTTCTTCAAAACCGTAAAGTTTTTTACGTGCCTGGTTGGGACTGTCATGGCCTACCGATTGAGTTGAAAGGCAAGTGTTTGTTTATATTCTGGTTCTGCTAGTGGGCTATCTACTCTGGAATTCTGGTTTTTACATTTTGTTGACATGCTGCTTACGATAAGGCCAAACAGTGAGAAGCTTTCACCCAGACACTGGCTGTATAGGTTAATAGGCAAAATATGGAAGTGAAAAGCCTGCTTATTGAAGCTGTGAATTGTATTGGTTACGATGCTATATGTGATTATACCCTAATAACACTTAATAATATATTTTAGAATTTAGATGTATAAACTATCATATTTCTCTTTTTACCGGAAAAAAACCCGTCATATTTCTCTTTTTATTGTTTAATGGAAAAGATTTAACATTGCACGTCTTGACCACTGAACAACACTCTATTTGATTGAGTTGGATTGCTGAGAAAGAAGATAGGAAAATCATCCCAAGCTAAAAATTTCCACCTTTTCAGCTCAAAACAGGTAGTGCAACTTTGGAATCAATACTTTATTGTTGTATACAAAAATGAAAAATGGTATATGCATGTACTGTTAATACTATAGTTGTCATGTGAATTTTGGGACCTGTGTTCATGTAGAATGAAACTCAGATGAACTCTATCTCATGTTAGACATTTTCTTTTTCCTGGTGTCATGGAGGGTGTCTCCACCCCCTTCGGGATTTAAATGCAAGACATCTGGATCATGCCCAAAGACCTTATGTCAACTCAGCCATCCCGTGAGAGTTCGTGTTATGCTCCTTCAAACCAAGCTTAAGCTGAAGTCAAACCTGAATTATATTCCTGTAGACTTCAGGTTGTGCCCTAGCTCAATGCAAGCTTTTGAAACTTCACTACTTTTTGAACTGAACTAAGAATCTTAGAACATCACAAGGTAGTCACATATATAAGACAGCTTCTACTCATCATAATAAGAATTTACATGGTTGTGTCTTTGTGACTAAATGTTCCATTGATCCTGTACGATTAAAAAAAATTATGATAATAAAGTGAACCACTAAATTATGGATGCTCATGTCCATATAACACACGGTTGCTTGTTTAAAGTACAATTCAATATATTTGATTCCCTCTACATAAACTCTACAGTTCACTTATCTTGTCAGCAAAGTTGGTAATTATTAACCATCTTAGTGGCAAACTCCCTCATGCATATCATGTCTGTTTTGTGGGTAATATTCAACTCGAGACAGGTTGAAGAGGCTCTATATGTCCCATGATGTTTAATACTGCAAGCAGAAAATTTAGCAACCGTCATATGAAAGATGATCAAGTTATGAGAGTTCACGGTCATCACAACAAAATGAATACCGATTCTAGAGGGCCTTAATATGCATGTGTTCAATGAGTTTTGAAATCTGCCATTGGGTTTATCTTTGTTTGCTAGCAGAGTTAATGTGGAAACAGAAGCTCCTAATTTATATTTTTGGGTGGTTGGACCGCTCTTTTGAAATATTTCAGTGTTGCAGTCACTGGATCAAGATGCTAGAAACGAGCTCACACCATTGAAATTGAGAGCAAAGGCAGCCAAATTTGCCAAGGCAACCGTTAAGACTCAAATGACATCATTTAAGGTCATACCGAAGTTTAAATTTTTTCACTCCTTAAATTTTTGTATCTATTCAAAACATCTCTGCAAAGTTAATTATTGTACATAAATTGACGTAGCGGAAGCGATAAATTTGTTCACAAGGAACGAGGGTTATCTTGAATCCACAAGATATGGTACCTTGAATCCACAAGGAAAAGAAAATTCACATAGAATTCTGAAATATTATTGATAAAATTGATTGATTGATTCAAATCTCTGCATTCCATATATTTATAATGAAAGAAAACCCTAATTCATAAGGAAACTAACTGCGACACGAATGCTTATAACATAAGAAAATCTAATCCTAGAAATAAGCCTAAAAATAAATTCTCTCTAAAAATTCTGGAAAAATAGAGAAAGAAACCTAATAAAATAAAACTACTAAATAAAAAATCTCCGAGCATTCCGACTTCGTTAAGGCCTTGAACAAAAATTCCGAAATAATCAGTACGCCTCCTATAACATGTGATACCCCCTAATTTCGGAACACGGGTTGATTAAGTCCGCGCACAAAATCAAGGAATATCAAAACAATTTTAGTATTTAACAAGCACAGAATACAAAGATGAATAATAAAGAATAAATAAACCGCTGAAGAAAATTAATAAATAAATATTACTTAATGATTCTCCAACAATTACAACTCGGAAATCCCATAACTCAAGGACCCCTTAAAACATTATCCGATAATCCAATACTATTTAAAAGTACACAAGATGAATAGATGAATGACAGTCTCCCAGCTGCGGATCCTCAACCTCGAGACTGGAACCTCTAATAACCTGAAAAATAAATCGTGGGTTAAACCCTACGAGCAAGTTCACTCTACCAGGCCTCTGAAAACTAATAAGCAAATCATCTCTAATCAAACCAAATCTAATAAAGTTTTAACTTTAATAAAGCACGATATACATGTCTATATATAATTATATATACTATACTAATCACATCCGTTAATAGGTTTATTCCATACCTATTAAATAATTATTAAAATAATATTCATACCTAGACCAATCTACCATTTCATTTAAAAAAAAAAACTCCTTTGACCTTAATCCCATCCTAGTCAGTTGTTTAATCATTTATATAATAAATTATAATAAAAGGCATATTATAATTAATCCCAAAACCCGATGATGATTTTAACTAAATCACATATCCAAAATCTCAGCATTGACAAATCATCCATGTCTCCACAAATATTATTTTATTAATATAAAATAATACATTAACCAGTAAGTACTAGATTATTCTAATTTAAGAATATATAATCCTAATCCAGTCTCTACATACAATAACCATAGATGATATTTTAATCATCTAACACATAACAATTTAATTACGCTTTGCCAAATTAACCATGCCATTATAAATATTTTCATTGATATATTGGCAACTCAACCATGCCTCCTTAAATATATTTATTTTTACATTGACAAATTAACCATGCCTCCACAAGTATATTTATTTACATATTTGGCAAATCAACCATGCCATTATAAATATATTTATTTATACATTGACAACTCAACCATGCCTCATTTAAGTATATATATTTATACTTTTAAATTAACAATTCAACCATGCTTTCTGTGTATGTATTTTATTCATACAAATACTTAGGCAAAATACTTACGCCTATGGCAACTCATCCATGCCTACAATTCAACTATGTATCAACTTTAAATTTAAAAATAAATTAATTCACACATAACCATTTAATGCATATTATATGCATAAGATTAATTTAATAATCAGCCTAATATAATATATCAAATAAGAATAATAATTTAATTATCTTAAATGATATATACATATACCCATATATTATATAATATATATATATATATGTATAATACCTTCAATAATAATCCTTGATTATTTAGAATCATATATACATATACATTAATGAATATATATATATACATATAATTCCTTCCATCCTACACATAAATTAATTAAATCATATATACACATATATAATTAATTATATATATAACTCCTTCCATCACCAAACTATTAATTAATGACATTTACGTAAATTAAACGTCACTAAATATCGTCACAAATGTTTTCCCATAAATACTTCATATCAGTTTAAATAATTTTCCGACACCGTCTCACTAAAACGTAACTATCTTCTAGTGGGATGGGAAACTGATAATGAAATTAGTACCATTGGAAAGAGGACGAAAAATCCTTGAATTTGAGCTCAAGAATGACCCAATTTCGATTTAAGATGATTAAGTTATGACCGTTTTAATTTTATGTCACAAACAGGCAACATAATTGGATGAACTCAAACACTACTGTGAGCGCACCCACACCGGATTAGCTCACTTAAGCTCACACAAATGCACCCACACCAGATTAGCTCACTTGAGCTCACATGTATGCACCCGCACCAGATTATCTCCCTTTCATCAATCAAATCAAACCGCTGGATTCCGCATGTGCATTAACATATCATGTACCGCAATACACTGAATCAATCCATTAATATATAAGTAATCTAATGGTCTAGATCAGTGTGCGCACCATTATTCCATGTACCGCGCCACACTGAATTGCTTCCCTATTGAGGCGCCGTTCCACTAACAGTGTATATATGTATAAACAATATACACATATATATTTCAAATAAATATATAAAAATAAATTCTAATAAATTACCAAAAATACCAGAAAAATATCAGAAAATTCCAAAAAATTTAACAAAAATTCCAGAAATTTTAGAAACACTAATTAACCCCTCTTGGGTCCAAATCCAGCCTATCTGTTGATGTAAACAAAATATACAACACATATATACAACAATAGAAATCTAAAATTCCAAAAAAAAAAATATAATAATTCATATTTTAAATATTCCGTTCTAACCATCATTTAATCAATAAATTTAACCTTAGATTTTGATACTCAAGGTGAAATCCTTATGAGTTCTAAGAGGAAAGTTAGAGAAGAACTCGCCTGAAGGTTTCAAAACGAAACCGAAGCTTCAAGCCTTGATTGCCTCTTCCAAATCCGATGTCCTCTTTCTCTAAGCCGGCCTCCTCTTTGTCGGCCTTCTCCTTTTCTCTCTCTCTCTTATTTTTTTAACGTGTAAACCTTTAACCCTAAAGTCTTATGCGTATATTTATACACATTAGAATCCAAATCCTATTCCTACTAGGACTTTCAAATAAAATAATAATTCTTAAATAATATATATATATACCTTCCATAATTAATCCATGGGTTAATTAAATCATATAGACCTATATATATCCATAAATATATATCTCTATATATATTTTTTCATAACAATTATTAATTAATTATATTTATATAAAATTATATATATTTATAATTAATACAAAAATGATCATTTAAATAATTAAATAATCATGGGCCTTTATTAATTAACCCAATAAGGCATCATACAAGCCCAATACCACATCTTTTGGTCCAACTTCCCTTAATCCCAAATCCAATTAATTTAAATAAATCAAATAATTAAATAGACACTTAAATAATAAAAACTAATTACACTAAGCACATAAACAAAATAATAAATTACAACCAAGTTATACCATATCAATAAAATTAACACGCCAACAATTCAATCAATAATTAAACACACAGACAACAATCATCATATCAATAATTCACGAAATATAAATAAAATAAAACAATTAATCTAAGCACTCAATAAAACAAATCAATTAAAAATTAAAATAAACGCAATTAATTCAAATTAAATCAAATACATCATTTAAAAATAAAATAAAAGTAATTAATTCCAATTAATAAATCATTTAAAATATCGGGGTATTACATAACACAATAAAGCGCGATTTTGGATCCCTAAACGAAGGTTTTCAGCCGAAAACCAACATGGCCCACAAGCTATAGTTAGTGGGTCTTTCTCAATGGGTCGTTTCCACAAAAAAAAAACACTCCTTTCGGGTCGAAAACGGACTTGTTGAACTGTTCAGAATTCTGTTCTGCATCAATCACCTACTCTTAAAAAAAACCCATCCTCGAGTTTGGCTGCAACTAACATGAAGTATTGCATACCACAAAATCATATTGTTCATTGTCATGAGTACCTCCAAAGCACGACACCAAAGTATTTTCATTGGCACCTTCTGGAATAAATAATTCTTTAGTTACAATCTGCTCAAATAATGATACCTCACCAATTTGAAGCCCAAATTCATCCAAACCATCTTGGACATGCAATTTAAAAACTTCTTTGACCCCATCATCAATTAATTCATGTTTCTCGCTGTCAACGTCAAACTTCTTGTCACCATCTTCTTCTTTTGCTGTCTCTGAAGTTGTATTATTGGAAGCTTTTTTAGGTGTCTCTGTTGCGATTCAAGCATGGACAACTTCGTCATCCTCAACTACAAGAGGCGAAGCAAATCAATTTTTCTCTTGATCAACCTTAATAATGTCAGTCGTTGCCTCAACAAAATTATTATTATCCTTGGTGCCACTATCTTTTTTGTGAATCTCCTTTGCAGACTTTTTGACAAATGGACTCTCTTTTCAGCAATTCCAATATTTTTGATACATTATCTCCTCATAATTTGGTGTTAGAAATGTAGCCATGAATATCCGTTTCATCTTGTACCACGACCGAACAAGCTGTGATCCTTGCCTCCTTCGATGAAACTGTATTTGTTCCTACCAAACTAAAGCACACCCTTTAAGCTTGAAGGCAACAAGTGGAACTTGCTTGTTTTCAGGTACATCAAAAATTTCAAAAAATTCTTCAACTTCTTCAACCCAGTCCTAGACATCTTCAGTGATAAAACTTCCATTGAAAGTAAATAGATCAAGTTTTACCTGAAATTCACGATTGTTGCGTCTACCTCGATCACTGAGTACGAACTCCTCATCATCGGATGAATCATCCAAATAATCTGCATAGGCTGGAGGCCTACATGGATATATAGGAACATAACCCATATTCGGTTGGCTGTGAGACACATCATATGCGCGAAGTTGAACTGAACCACGAACCTGGTTACCACCAATCCCAAAACCAGTTGCTACGAACCATTCTTGAGTATGCATGGCTGCCCAAGGGGCTTGCACTCCCCGATCAACGTTGCAAGAACGGTTGCTACCAAAACGATCAATCGTCATCAGTCCATGGTAAATCAAGGCTCTGATACCAACTGACGTAGCGGAAGCGATAAATTTGTTCACAAGGAACAAAGGTTATTTTGAATCCACAAGATATGGTACCTTGAATCCATAAGGAAAAGAAAATTCACATAGAATTCTGAAATATTATTGATAAAATTAATTGATTGATTCTGATGTCTGCATTACATATATTTATAATGAAAGAAAACCCTAATTCATAAGGAAACTAACTGCGTCACGAATCCTTATAACATAAGGAAACCTAATCCTAGAAATAAGCCTAAAAATAAATTATCTCTAAAAATTATGGAAAAATAGAGAAAGAAACATAATCAAATAAAACTACTAAATATAAAATCTCCGAGCATCCGACTTCGTTAAGGTATCGAACAAAAATTCCGAAATAATCAGTAGGCTTCCTATAACACAATAAAACGCTATTTTGGAGCCCTAAATGAAGGTTTTCAGCCGAAAACCAACATGGCCCACAAGCTATAGCTAGTGGGTCTTTCTCAATGGGTCGTTTCTACCTAAAAAACACTCCTTCCAGGTCGAAAACGGACTCTGTTCATAATTCTGTTCTGCATCATAAATAATGCATAAAATTAATGACCGTAATGTTCTTTTTCAGTTACAAATTAGTGATAGAATTTTGTTGAGGAAAATTTGCATATTAAGAATACATTTTGAATTTTGACAGCGATTTGGAGTATGGGCAGACTGGGATCATCCTTATCTAACACTCGATCCAGAGTATGAAGCTGCTCAGGTAGCTGATATGTCATTCTTAAAGTTTATCTTCTGGGGGGTTCTTGAAATTGATTTTAACTTTTAACAATGTGATCAATAAACTTGTGTTATAAACCATGGCCATCTCTGGCATAGTTCCATGATCTATAACAACTGATGCGTTTTTATGGTTTCTCCATGTAATATAAATTTATAGCATAGCTCGAGAAGACACCTATCATATAGTTGTAGATGCATTTATCTGACTTAGCTGGTGAAAAGGTGCTTTTAGTGTTATCTCCAGCTGTCTACCCTGAGTGAATCTTCTGCCATCCCTTTTAAGGGAGGTGCAGGTTCAAGTCCCAGCTGGTCATGGGTTTGTGTGTAGTAAATATAAAGAAACCTCTTTCATATTGATTTTACTATTTGTAACTTTCCTAAGATGTTGTTGTTGTGCACCGTCTACTAGATCGAAGTATTTGGTCAAATGGCCTTTCAGAGCTATATCTATAGAGGCCGAAAACCAGTTCACTGGAGTCCATCATCACGAACTGCTCTTGCGGAGGCTGAGTTGGAGGTAAATTGACATTTTAAGTTCTTGCTTTTCTTCCACTGTTGACTGAACTTGATGTTGCATATCTTATTAGTTTTTATATCTCTTGTTTTATGAAAATTGATACAATTTACTTACCATTACATATATAATTGTTGTAAATTTTTAGTGCGTGCTATGTAACTGAGAATTTTCTGAAAACGGTGGAACCAAAAATAGTTCTAGTTACCCCTTAAATGATGCAGTTGGTGAGTGACCATCTCCCAGTATCCTATCCAATCGTTTTTTCCCTCTTCAGGTGCTCAGATATGCAAAAGAGCAATAAAAAGTTGTTGATTCCAGAAAATCTTTACTTGATTTATTTCTGGAGAAAAGATCGAGTGGAATTTTAAGAGCATAATGAACAGAATACAAATTAAAACATGAGATAGGTTATAAAATACTTGTTAAAATTTCAAAAATATCATAAACAAAAATATTAATACACTTGAAGAAAAATCACCCTGGAAATTCATAAGACTAAAAGATCCAGAGTCGATGACAATCGAAGCAGATTTGAGTGGCAAAACATGTAGTAGTACCCAAGCAAGTGAAGATGCCAATTCCATCAACTGGTTATCCTTTTTGCTGTAGGAAATTATATTCATTGTTGGAAAACAACTAATGTTAACCTCCAAAATAGCAGTTAAGAACTTGAGATAAAGGAACATTTGACATTTACTGTGTGTGCCCATTTCTGTAGGATAGGACAAAACATCTTATGTTAAACTCCGGATTAGTGGTTGAGATAAAGGATCATTTGGCACGGGCTGCTGCTGCCCACTTCTGAAGCATGACAATACCTTTTTCTCAAGCTGGCTTTATTTCAAACTTTTTCGTCATATGAACTCTTACAGTGAATACGCTTTCAGGTCTCATAGCTTCAAAAGATTTCTCCATGTTGAGAACCATCTATTCTAAAAGCTTAAGCTATTAGAGAGGGTGTAACTTTAATTTTTAAATCGTCTAATGTGGCCACTTACACGTGGCCTTCTTTTGGTCTAACATGTGTTTCAATTTGAATTATGAGGGCAACAGTGAAGTTTGAACTCAAGACCTTGCCTGCTTTAATACCATGTTGACAATCATCTACTCTAAAGGCTGAAGTTCTTAGGGAGAGCGTAACTTTAATTTCTAAGTCCTGACACTCCATCAGCAGGTGCACTGTGGCCTTTAGCAAGTGCGTGACATCCCTTAGAAGGACCACCTTTGCTGAAAAATGAGACAAAGACTGGACTAAAATTGAAATAACTTAAAATGGTTTAGGGATAGGATCTTACTAAGTTATGCCATATTATTCAGATTGAAACTGGGAAACATGAGATGAAATGGAACGTTGAAAGGAAGTGGACTGGGACTGGGAAGAATAGTGAAAATAATTTGGTAAAAGGTAGCTATTATGTCACTCAGAAAAAAGAAGATGGACTAAGACTTGCCAAGCTGGTTCTTAGGATCAATGTTATTCCAGATTGTGGTTGTGGAAGTTTCTCGAGGATAAGCCTTCATTTGCATTTGCTTGGATAGTAATTGTTAGGTTTACTTCCAAATTCTATGGCGTCTTCCTCTTTGAGAATGATAACCCTTCTAATCTTAATTATTTTAGGCTGATTGGAAAGCTAGAGTCCTCTTGAAAGTCAGAGGCTTCTCTTCAGGCTGGCACGACCAAGAATATAGGGGTTGTTGTCTTTAAGCCTAATTTCAATATGTTTTAAAGTGGGTTGCTCTTCTTGCATTCCTATTTAGCCTTTGATTGTATAATCTAATGGAAATATTATACTTAATTTAGTAGGCGTGCTTAGGATTGCTTAGATCAATGTTCTGTTGGAATAATTTTTAACTACAGTGTAAAATATTTTTCTATCTCCTGACCCAAGGAATAAGGATTTGCTATTGTTAGAGAGTTTGTTATTCTTTTATTAATTAAGGGCACTATTTTAATATTATCTACTCAGGTGAGAGGTGTGGAAAAACCTTAATGCACTCTTATACTCCACAGAATTCTCTTCCTTCTCTACAAACTAAAGATCCTTCAACTTTAACAGCTATTAAGTTGAATATTGTTACTATCTCAAGAGGTCTACACAAGCTGTTTTACGGGTTTCAATTGTGATGGTTTAGGCAAGCAAGGAAACACTTATACTTGCCCAAAACACTTGATCCTTTGGTTCATGGAACTATGCTACCAATTCAGTGTTCAAAAACATTTTTGAAGTCAGAGATTGTTTGGTTGTTTAGATTGACCAATGAAAATGCAGATTTCTTGGTCTAGTTGGTGGCAGACTCTTTATTGTGTTCAAAAGCCAATTATGTCCTTGAGGAGGTAGAGGGTCTGGAATTTGGTGGGATTTTTGTTTGCAGTTTGTCTGTATCTTTCTAATGGAAGTGTAGGTCGACCGCTTTCATATGGGATTAAGGCAAGGATGATGATACGTTTTTATGTATTTTTCTTTTTTGTTTGTTTCAGGAAGATTCTTCATTTTTCTTCTCTGTCATTCCTATCATTTTCCTGCTCAAAATACTATGGTATCTTGTATAAAGATAATAACATAAGGGCCTGTTTGGTAACTACTTTTGCTTCGTGTTTTTTGCTTTTGCTAGTGTACTGTAGCAAAACAAAAGCATGAAACTTGTTTGATAACGTTTGCTGTCATTTGAATAATACCGAAGCGCTTCTAAAAAAGAGGCCAAAATCAGAAATATAAAAATGATGCTTTTGGTTGCTTCCGCATTGTAGCAAGAGCACTTTTTTAAAATATATATATATATTCAAATGACATTTTTAACTAACCATTCTATTTTTCAAACTTGCAACTTTTTTACCAAACATACTTTCATGTTTTTGCTTCCAAAAATCTTGCAACAAATTTATGTTACCAAACAAGCTTTGAAATAGTATTGAACACACTCTAAAGCAGAAAGACTGATTGTGCTTCAGGTTAAAGCAAAATCACAAAGCAAAAGCGGTTGCCAAACGGGCCCCAAGTTTACCAGAATACTGTTACACCTTCATTAATACAATGTTATGTCATACTTCTAATAATAATCTCCATGACTTCTTATCTTACTTGTTTAAAGTTCCTATGCAGTATCCTGAGGGGCATGTTTCAAGGAGCATATATGCCATTTTCAGATTAGAAAGTGCACCTCCAAAATTGGGTGGCTTATTGGAGGAATTTTTTCCCAATTTGTGCCTGGCCATTTGGACTACCACTCCATGGACTATTCCAGCCAATGCTGGTAAATATTTCACCATGTTTTCTTTGACAAATTATTATCAGAACTAAAATTTTATTCATTCAATGCTTCTATTTGTTTTCTACTGATCAAACTAGTGGTTACTTGAATAGTATTAAAGATTTAATGGAGGAAATTCCTCCAGTAATTGATGTTGTTTCCTATTATTGAAGATTTACTGTTACTAGAGGAATCAGTGGAGAAAAATCCTCCTTTTCCTATTTTCTATCTCTTTCCATTAGTATCATTTCTTCTCTTATATATAGGAACCTCCACCATTGTATTGTGTATGAGTTGAGAGAATATTATAAAAGATATGCAGCCCTTTGGGCTCTTTGTGCTGTGGATGTAGGCCCTAGTGGCTGAACCACAAAATATATGTGTGTTGTTCTTGTTTTATTTCTCTCTTCACTCATACTTTATCGTTTACAACATGGTATCAGAGCCTGATTTTTCTTCCTAGGTTCGGACCCCTAGTTTGGGGTATTCCTTTAGCATTTGAAATGTTGCTAAGCATTTCTCGGTGCTATTTGTGACTTGTTTGGGCTGTCGGTGTGTTTGTTCTTTGCCTTTCTCCAACAGTTTATATTGACTTGTTTGAACTGCCGGTGTGTTCGGTAGCATTGTCTTCGCCTTTGCCGTGTCTCCGGCATTTTTTATTGACTTGTTTGGGCTGCCGTTGTGTTTGGTATCATTGTTCTTCGCCTTTGCCTTGTCTCCGGCAGTTTTTGTTGACTTGTTTTGGCTGTCGGTGTGTTTGGTAGCATTGTTCTTCACCTTCTCTTTTCTATCTTCATCATTCGCACTTGCTGCTACTCGTCATCTCAATGGCAAGTTGGGCATTCATGCTCCAACTTGAGGGGGAGTATTGAAGATTTAATGGAGGAAAATCCTCCGGTTATTGATGTTGTTTCCTATTATTGAGGATTTACTGTTACTAGAGGAATCAATAGAGAAAAATCCTCCTTGTTTCCTATTTTCTATCTCTTTCCATTCTCGTCATTTCTCTACCATTGTATCGTGTATGAGTTGAGAGAATATTATAAAAGAAATGTAGCCCTTTGGGCTCTTTGTGCCGTGGATGTAGGCCCTAGTGGCTGAATCACATAAAATATGTATGTTCTTCTTGTTTCATTTCTCTCTTTGCTCATACTTTATCGTTTACAACATATAGGTACATTTGTGACATTGGTTACTATCATTCAACATTTTCAGTTGTTCAAAGTGACATTTTACGAAGGGCTTTATGTTACAATTTTCTTACTTATATCTTGGAGTTCTTAGCAGTTGAATTGTTCAACAAAATTGCCATTTCTTTTGCAATGTTTTCAAAATTTCTGTAACCAAGATTCCAGAAGTCGGGTAATACTTTTTGTTTCTTGAAACCTGCTTTTGAGTAGTCTTCCATCATCATGGTTCTGAGGGAACATCCTTTTTGTTCTCATGAAAAACTAATTTTTTTTGAAACTGTGCATTTTTTTGGGCATCTCTTTACCCTCTGTTTAGACTGTATCCTCTCTTGTTTTACTAATTTTACTAAATTAACATTCTATTTGTTCAGTTTTAACTCTAATTATTTTAATTCTCTAGATTTTCCTTTTTGGTAATTGAATCTCTAGATTCTAATTTTTTTTCTCCAATCCAATGTAGCACTTAACCTTTTTTAGTTTGATCCATCGAAACAACATTATCATCAAACAACATACATTATAGAATCTCAACATGTATGCATTGTGTCATGTCATCAACGATTATGGTAAAAGGATAGGATCTTAATGGTTTACCTCTGATCTAAGCTTACAATAATTGAAAATTCAATTTTTTTTTTCCTTTAGTTGTTTTTACAACAGTCACATCTCCATATTCGTATCAGTTATAATGTCAATATATCTGTTTTTTGATCATATTTTCTTATAACATGCTGTATGATATTCTTGTCCTTGCATATTTTCAACACTATTAGTTCATGTCATAGTCATTGTCTACTCATTCTTTCATGTTTAATAGCTTGGATTAGTACCATGATAATTTGTACTACTTTGAATATCCCCTTTATTTATATATATATATAGGTTCTAAAATACTATTTCATCGCTCATCAGTCATTCTTTATTTTATTGTGATCTTATTAAATAATTTTGCCGTTCAAGACAAGGCGTTATCTCTTGAACACTATCAACTCTCAACAGGACTACCATTTGGATGTAAAGTCATTCTAGTTTCATCTTTCTCAATGCATTTTTTAAATCACACACTGTGGTCCAACAACAACAGCAAAATCTTCTATCTTTTTTTACATTATTTTATTATTCTAAACCGAAGCTTCCCATAGAATTTTCATTCAACAACATCTGGAAGAAGTACAATGGAGTGAAATTTTTTATTGGTGTGCATTCTGGATTAAGCTATGTGTTAATGTTGATTTCTAGATTAAAAACTCTATAAAGGACCATATTTTTCATGGCTTGTTATACATATGGTTTATTCACACAACTGTTGCCATATAGCCACAATTCTGAGAAAATTTAGTGCTGCCATTGCTCTGGTAAATGATGTGTTAAGTGTATGGGGCACTCTCATACTATAGATTTGATATGTGCATTGTGTTTGTGAAATTCTCTTTCTTGATAGCTATAATATTACTTTAGAGAAAAGTTGCATGTACTGGAAAAACTCAGATGCATTAGCCTTGTTAACTGTCCATTTACTTTAGATGACCTTGTAGCATGTAGTGTCATCTACTCTGCTTGCACATAGCATGTATACATCTCTCCCACTCCCCCAACCCTCTTGCTCATATATATAATATGCAATAATTTTCCTTTTCTTGCTCAGCTGTCGCAGTGAATGCTAAGCTTCAATATGCTGTTGTTGAAGTGCACTCACTCTTGGAGGATATTTCTACCTCTTCTGGACATGGAAAGAAAAAGTTTGGCATTGTTTTGAAGGAGCAAAACAAACCCTTCCTTATTGTAGCATCAGATCTTGTGTCAACGTTAGAAGCAAAATGGGGCCTGAAGCTTGTTGTGAAGAAAACATTGTTGGGTTCAGACCTTGAAAACTGCAGGTTATGTGTGGAGATTGAAAATTTTGAACTGTATAATGTTCTTTAAAAGGATTTCTCTCCATGTGATCTGGCCGACACCATTGACCTTTGTTTATGTAAATTTTCTTGTTGGTATCTACATAAGAAACAACATATTATTTCTTTAGAGTTCCTGCTTGGGAACCAGTAGCACTATGCATATCTAACATGTGATTTTCAACTATGGCTTCAGGTATATCCATCCACTTGATAACAGAAAATGTCCTGTTGTCGTCGGGGGAGACTACATTACTACAGAGTCAGGAACTGGACTAGTCCATACGGCCCCTGGGCACGGTCAGGAAGATTATGTAACTGGATTGAAATATGGTTTGCCTATATTTTCCCCTGTTGATGATGATGGAAAGTTCACTGAAGAAGCTGGGCAGTTTAGTGGACTATATGTACTTGAGGATGGTAATATTGCTGTTATAGAATACTTGGATGAACACTTGTCAATGATCATGGTAGAACCATACAGTAAGTTTTGTTCTCCTTTCTACAATTCAGATATGAGAATATTCTATTTTTCTTTCTTGATGTTATAAAGAAGGATGAGGTAGCCATGGTGGTTTAGAAGACATCAGCTTATTTCTGATGCAGAACACAAGTATCCATATGATTGGCGGACAAAGAAGCCTACAATATTTAGGGCAACTGAGCAATGGTTTGCATCTGTTGAAGGATTCCGGAAGGCTGCTATGGATGCAATTAGCCAAGTAACATGGATTCCATCTCAGGTATTTGATTTTTGTATTGCATCAAGTTATGCTATACACGACATGATAATGCAACCTCCAATTTCTGTCCCTTTCTATGTCATCTTTTCTTGTTGACATTGGAGTGTCGATCCTTAAGCAATACTTTGATACATCATACCATGTTAAATTATGCCTCACTTGAAATTGGTATACCATTCCATGTTCAACCATGCGTGTGTTAGAATGTAACTTGACCTTGGTTCAGTCCACAAGACATGAGGTGGAAGCACCCCAAGCTCTCTTGGTTCATTCCATAATAAACTCAAGAGAATTCAAAGAAAATGGAATTCTTGGAAATTGGTTGGATTTCACGGTAGAACCACGTGGACCTCCCATAACAAGTTAGTAAAAATAAGACCCATGAACCACAACTGTACCCCTATCTGGCAAATTTAAAAATTATGAAAGTACCTTTTATTCCTAAATCTTAATAAATCGTAAATAAAATCATTCCAGCATCATACTAATTTAAAGTAACCATAAACTAAGGCACAAATTAACCCAAAACTTGATTATGAAATGTCCAAGGTGCAATCCACATGAAAGCCCCACCATACCTTCTATTCTTGGAACAATATTTTTTTCCTTGGAACATTATCTTTATCATTTTCCCCATGTTCAAGGAAGGAAGTCAACGTTGAGTTCTGTAGTTCCTCAGTATGATAAAATGCAAACTACAGCTTTGCATTAAAGGTAGATTGAAATTTTGGAGTTGATTTGACTTGAGTGTCTCTTTGTTAAGGAGGATAACTCCAAGGAGTCACTTTATTCCATTGTAAACTCTTCTATCTATCTAAAACTGTAAAATCAATGGTGAGATGAACTGCACATTCATGGACTCCTTAAATTTGTTGGGAATAATAAATCTATTAGATATCATAATCATCCTATTTTCTTTTTGTTTCCTTAGTGCCATGGTACTTGTCAGTGTCGAGGTTTGAAAAAGTCACTCAATACCATAAAGTAATGGTGACATGTAGTATCCCTAGCTTCCGTTACCGTCAGGTCCAGTAAACTGATGAGAGCCAGATTTACAGCTGGACTGTCTGTTACGGGCCGTCATAAACAATTATGAGTGTTATGGTGTTGCAATGGCCCTTCTACATTCTGTTATGACATGTGAATTTGACAGGTACTTCAAAAGTACGTCCAGACCTTTTCCTTCTCAACTTTGTCACCTATTCTCCCTTTTGGAAACTAGAAAGGGCAATGAATGGATCATTGATTGAAGGCCTTTTTTGGTCATGTGTTTTAGTTGTAGTTTCTCCTCATCTGACAAATGTTATTATATAATATTTTGGATGCGTTGTGTTTTAGTTTTTGTACATGTGTTTTAGTTGTAGTTTCTCCTCATCTGATAAATGTTGTTGTATAATATATTGGATGCACTGTGTTTAAAAATTGCATGAAATTTGTTCAGGCAGAAAACAGAATTTCTGCAATGACCTCTAGCCGCTCTGATTGGTGTATTTCAAGGCAAAGGACGTGGGGCGTCCCGATCCCAGTTTTTTATCACGTAGAAACGAAGGAGGCTCTCGTGAATGAAGAGACTATTGACCACATCAAGTGTAAGGGCCTTCCAGAACTGGTAACTGCTTTCTATTTTCCTATATTATGTTAGGTTCATAAATCTTGTGGTATAACTCAATTTAGAATTCTTGGTTTCAAATAATGTCATTCTTCATCCTACATTGAAACTTCTGTTCTCTAGCTTTTTCTTTATTAACCAATCTGTATCATAAGTATGCGCTTAAGTGCATTGTTATCACAGTTTCAATATTTAATGCTATTAAAGATATATCACTAAAATATTGAATTTCTTTCACTGTTTATTTATTTGGCAGCTATAATTTCCCAAAAGGGTAGTGATGTGTGGTGGTATATGACTGTAGAGGAATTACTACCTCATAAATATCGCGATAAAGCATCAGAGTACATAAAGGGGACTGATACAATGGATGTCTGGTTTGACTCAGGTATTTTTTTTAACTATATTAATGTTGAACCTTTGTTAACTGGAAAACAGACTTGTGTATTCTCTTTCGAGCTGCTTTTTTTTTTTCGATAATTACATTTTTTCCGCCATATACTAATATTAAGGCTGCAAATAAAGCAAGCTGTTCTGATTTCTCAGAGTTGGCTCGTACTGTGACTTGTCCATATTTGCTCATTGCATGAATGAACTGAGTTTAAGCTTACTTTTAATCTTTTGTAACTACACGATCAAAGTTTAAATTTTATGTGGCTCGGCTTGCAACTATGTAAGTGGTGCATGAGTAATGCTAAAAGAAATTAATGTTTAAGGATTTTAAGCACATCTCTCCAAGAATTGTCGTATTTAAAAAGCTAAAAAGAGAACAATAAACCAATCAGAATTTGATGTCTTCAATTTCAATTTTTTTTTCTTTGATAAGTATGTCTTCAGTTTCAAATGAATTAGAGATCATTTAAAAATCTTTCTTACTTTTTAGGAAGGTGAGAGAAAAACACCTCCATATGTTTTCTTGATCATATCTAACAAGAATGAAGTTTTCTTGCCTGCCATTGTGGTTCTCAGTGGAAAATGTCTGTATATTTTAAGATCGTCCCTGACAGTTCCCTTTTATCCTATTTTTCTTGTCTTCTTTTCAATGAGTCTATGGTTGAATCCAAAAGGGTTAACCTTAAATTATTCGGAAAAAGATATTAAAAGCAACAGTAAATATAATTATGCTTCATATTCTGTTATCCATTAATGTTTTGATGCCTGTTTCTTTTTTATTTAATCCTACAGTCCACAACATCCATGTACCAACAGCAATCCCTCCTGTCCAAAGAAGATTTATGTCTTACTTCAATGGCCTATATTTGGTGTCATATTTATTTAAAGTATACAATTTATAGCTGTATGAGAGGCCAAGCCCAGCCTGAGCTTAGCGGAACTATTGCAAGACTAGCTTGAACAGCTTTACTCAAGTTTGTCTCAAGCAGGAGCCTGTTGAAGGATTTAAATATTTAAGTTGCACCCTCTCTTAAAGCTTAAGCTTTTAGAGTAGATGGTAGTTAACATGGTATCACAGCAGGCAAGGTCCTGTGTTCAATTCTCATTGTCACCCTTATAATTAAAACTGAAATAGTGTTGGACCAAAAGAAGGCCACACGTGAGGGGGCATGTTGAAAGATCTAAATATTTAAGTTACACCCTCTCCAAAAGCTTAAGCTTTTCAAGTAGATGGTGGTTAATAGAGCCAAGCTTGAATCCATCTCAAGCAATCCGAACCAGAACAACTCAAGACTTGGCTTGGCTTGGCTGGGTATATACACATTTTCACTTGCCAAAGAAAAGGTATTATCCCATGGGTTTGCGATTTAAGTTTGGATGCTACTTTAAATTTTATTTTCGTCTTTTTGGGGGTTGGGGTAGGGAAGGGGAATGTAAGACAGTCTCGATGTCCTTTGTTAGTCGTTGCAGAATTATTATGTCATTGTTTATGGTGTTGAATAAGATAGCGCTAAATTGCTAACTGAACAATACCTCAAATATCACTTGGAGCAAGGCCAGTGCTGGGCTAAGAAACTGACAGAATCTTATCTAAGGCCCAACAAGAGATGTCACTACACACCTCGGCCTCAGGATGAACTCTGATGTTATTGTTATTGCTATTAATATTCTTTTATGTATCATTATCACTGTCATAATTATAATAATAATTATTGTTATTGTTACTGTTATTGTAGTTATTGTTATTGCAACAACATATGTTTCTTGGTACTCAGAATATTGTAGTAGTCTTATTTGTCATACCAGATATGTAAGGTTTTCTGAATAGCCAAGTTTGATACACACTGGTTTTTTTAATGTTTTTTTTTTTTTTTTTGATAAGTAAGAATTGTATAAAAAAGCACTCAAAAGGGGAGTTTTTTATGTTAATCCTAAGTTGATACACAATCCCATTATCCATGTCCCCTAGCCATTTACTCTACAAGCATAAAATGACCGCATTCACTTGTGATTTCTCTGACTACATTTGAACACTGCCCATAATTCAATTTCATTGCTTCACGAGGACCATGGCGTTGGTTAATTGCTCATTATCTACTACAGGCTCCTCTTGGGCTGCTGTGTTGGAGAAAAGAAAAGGCCTTAGTTATCCTGCAGATTTGTATCTTGAAGGTACAGATCAGCATCGTGGATGGTTCCAAAGCTCTTTATTAACAAGTATTGCTACAAAAGGTATTGCTCATCTGAATGTGCTCTTGTTCGCCTTATGTTAATTATTTGTGGTTCAAACAATATATCACTCGGCATATTTTATACTTTAGTTGGTGATCTTAAAAAATTAAGGTTTCTATGTTTTTGATCCTTTTAAATCACGGTACTCATTTTTACCTTATGTATAACCCTGATTGAAATGGAATTAACTTCTTCCGGAAGGGAATGGATTGTAAATTTCTTGGATGTATCTGTTTACAATTTCCCATTGTGGCTAAAGCAATATCCTTGTTCTGTTATAAAGTTGTATACTTTTATCAGTGTTAGCATCAGTCGAATCCTTTTTCTCTTAATGAGGATGTTTCGACTGTACTTTCTTTCTCTGAAAATAGGACTATGAAAAAAGGCACGAGTATGACCTTGGACAACACAGGTTAAGTCTGATAGCAGTCACTTTTTGTAAATAGGTGCGGGAGCTTAGGTCTGGAGGGGAAGAAAAAGGTTGTTAGAATCTGAGATTTGATCAATTCACCAATTGGCAGGAAATTGTGGCCTTATCCTTTTCTCATGAAGCTTTATTAGCAGTTCTTAGAAATGATGTGGGTAATTCAATGGCCTGGATAAGTTCCATGTAAACTTTTGACTGCTGCATTGCAGTTTACAGCTCTTTGCTTGCTGTGATAGACTAAAGAAGAGCTGCAATGCCTTGTGCAATTCTTGGTTTAAGAAAGATATCTTGTTTGTATCATGATGTTCTTCTGTTCCCACATTGTAAGCCTTGAGGTTGTTTCTGTATCATAATCTACCATCTTGTGTTTAGTAAGAGCCATGACATAATTATTTATTATTTTGCAGGAAAGGCTCCATATTCTAGTGTTGTAACACATGGATTTGTACTGGATGAAAGAGGTTTAAAAATGAGCAAATCATTGGGTAATGTTGTAGATCCAAGAACCGTGATTGAAGGAGGAAAAAACCCAGGGGTTAGTCACTGGTCAATAATATTTCACATCTTATGTTGAATGAATGGTCAATGGTGATACAATTTTTTCTTGGCAGGAAGCACCTAGTTATGGAGCTGATGTCCTTAGACTCTGGGTTTCAAGTGTAGATTATACAGGCGATGTGTTGATTGGACCCCAAGTCCTTCGTCAAATGTCTGACATATATAGGAAGCTGCGAGGAACGTTGCGATTTCTTTTGGCAAATTTGCATGATTGGAAAGTATGTTAAGGTTTCCAAACAACCATACCTGTTGGGTTCAGGCCACGCTTAATTGGAGAAGAGTTTCTTCTCTTTTCTCTGTTTCCTTCAAAATTATAGTACTTCCATTACTATATTGTTGCTCTCTCTCACACGCATGCACACAAGTTCATACTGCACCATAATTCACTCTCTTATGTGGTCCACTTTCAATTGTTTATTGCTTTTCGCTGGTCAGATGTTGTACAGATAACAATACTGTGTTGTTTATTTTGATGTTTCCTTCTGTTGCCTCTTCTGATTTTATTATTTATTGGTTTTTGCAGGCTGAATATGCTGTTCCATATGGTGACCTGCCTTTGATTGATAAGCATGCTCTATTTCAGCTTGAAAATGTTACAGAGAACATTAGAGAGAGCTATGAAAATTATCAGTTCTTCAAAATATTCCAGGTATATTCTCTTAATCTCATTGATTTCAATAATACTATAATCCCATATGAAGTTCACACTCAATGAGATGGTGGTCAGTTTTGAACAGAAGAGTTATTGTTTAGCTCAAAATGGAAAACTACTGGGAACACCCCCCATTTATTTATCTATTTTCTAAAACAAGAAAAGAAAAGAAATGCACTGTCAAGGTGAAGAGTTAGCATCTGATATGTGTGTGTGTGTGTGTGTGTGTGTGTGTGTGAGAGAGAGAGAGAGAGAGAGAGAGAGAGAGAGAGAGAGAGAGAGAGTTTTCTAGGGCAACCACTGCCTAGAACAAGGCAAAATCAAGAACAGTATCATTTGTTTGTCATATAAGGTTCTTTGGCATTATTGACTCCTCAAATCTGTGACAACTAAAGAAGAATGCAGGTGACCATGGGAATAACTTAAGAAATGACTTTATATTTCCTACAACTAGCTGAATGTTTGAGGGTTTCCATTACGCATCTTCTGTCAAAGGCTTTTGGAGGTTACATCCTTTTTAAATTTGGATTCTTCCTTCTGGAAATTATTTATCATATCAGCATAGTGGCTAGCTATGTGTCTCAAGCTTCAATTTTTTTATATTCGCTTGCAGAAGCACTGCGATTCATTTAAAAAAAAAAGGTTTTTAAAATTTTGGCCTATGCATGACTAGACAAGGTTTTGAATTTAGGTTAGGGAAATTAATTCATAGATATTTATTGAAGTTAATAAAAATTGAATCCATTTCAGTTACAATGTGTCAGGTACAAAAGCCAAGATATACTGCATTATGTTTTCCTGAAAAAAAGGAATCAAAATTAAGGCTGCAAATATTCTGAACTGAGTCTGTTATTTGGTTGCTTGAAATCAGCTCTGCTGAAATTCAGTGTTCAGATTCAGCTCAAGCTTGGCTTTCCACCTACTCAGATGGTTTGCCAGACAAGCTTGGCTCATTGCAAAAATCATGAGGATGACATTTCACTTTAAATCTGTCAATCTTCTATGGTTTGAAATTTACAACACAAAAAATGTAAGATAAAGGTTGATACTTGTCATACTTATATTAGCTTGAAATCATAAAACATCAAAAAATAGGTTGCCACCATTGCCAAAGCAGCATTGGCTTTTGAGGCTAGTGTTGCTGTGGACATTTGTACCTCCTCCTTTCACAGTTATACTGTTCTTAATAACCGATAATGCTTTCGCAATAGGGCCACTCAAAAAATATAAAATAAGGTTGACTTAACACAACATGGTTTTTTTAAATTGTTGACTTTCTCCTGAGACTTGTTTAGTTTCCCTCATTTCATATCATTGTTACTATCGTCCTAAATTCACCCTTAAATTCCAGATCCAAAACAAATTGAAGGGCATGAAAATTTGGAGAAATTACAAACAACCCACAGTAGTTTGATGTTTGCAAGTGCAACAGAGCTTTTCTTGGTCTGTTCAGCCTTATCTTGTTTACCAAATGAGCTTCAAGATAACCCAGTTCATTGTCTTAATAAATGAGCTGAAATGAGTCCAAAACCGAGTTACAAAACTTAAATATATTTTCCCAAATAAGGTATTAATGCGTTAAAGACATTCATGGCAGTTCTTAAGATTATCGCTTGACCCATTAAAGGACTATTAGGGGAATGACAGATGGTAACTAATTACGAGTCCTTCAGAAATAGTTTTTTAGAAGATAATATCATAATGAGTGTATACAGGATAATCTAAGCGCAATTTATAGTAAATCTGGATGATGTATATTTTTTGTAAAACTGCTTCGTGGTAGGTTTGTGAAATAATAATAATGCTTTTTTTATTCCCATCTCTAACATGTGGCTAAAAGAAGTATCACCATGACTGAATTTAATGCAATTTATATAAAACAAACTTTAGGAGAGAGGAAAGTACAAATTGGAGAGAGGTACTCAATGGAAAGCATAAAACAAGAGGGAAAAAAGAGTAATCTGTTTCTGAATGGACTATGAAGCCATCTGAGAATCCATTAGGATCTACAAGTGGTCCTAAATAAATCTCCAATCTCTGTCAGTAGCTGAGGAATCTCCAATATTCCTGTTGACCGTTTAATTCAGTGGAAATGTTATGATAATTTTTATCATCTCTTTGAGTCCGTAATCATAAATTGATTTCATGGTGCCCATAGATACAAATATTTCCTGTGAAACTTGAATTACCATAGTTGTGAACTTGTGGTACTCAATCCCTCTTTAATCTAAATTACCTGTAGATTCTTCTTGTTTTTACATGTTTTATCAGACTGATATCATGAAGGTACTACTGATGTATTGTGTAGTACACCCTACCAAAGCAGCCAAATTTGCATGCATCATCTATGTGATTGTTAAGGTCCAGGAATACTTTGGGGGTGAACACCCATCCAAACAAGTCGGATAAGTAGTGCAGTGTCCCATGTTCAGACATATAAGTTTGAATTTTCAGGAATGCTATAAGATCTTTTTTTCTTTTCTTTTTCCTTGATAGTTGTTAAATTATTTTTGTCATTCATTTTTATTTAACAGTTAATTTAATCGGCATTATTTTCTGAATAACATTTTAATATCTTTTATATGGAATATTGAATGTTTTCCCCATTTCAGATCATTCAACGATTTGTGATTGTTGATCTTTCAAACTTCTACCTTGATGCTGCCAAAGATCGGCTTTATGTCGGGTAGTTATTATCTTACTTTGCAGTATAAACAATTATAAAGCCGTTGCCTGATTTATTTTCATCCTTCTATCATTTGGCATATCCTGTAAAGAAAAAAAGGTGACTTTTCTGCATATACTGAAATCCTTATTTCTGAACACTACATCTTTTTAGACTAGGACCCTCCCAACTAGGAAAAAAAAATCATGTTTTTATAGTGGAGCACACAACATGAATTGCAATGCATTCTTACTTTATATATGTATCTTTTCAATACGATGCATACAATTTTACTGTTACATCCTTTTTTATTTTCTCTTTTTCTTGATTTTAAAACGAATCATATACAATACTTAAATTACCATCTACCCAGGTTAGTTGCGGATGACTAAAAGAGTTTTATAACCAAAACCTATATTCACATTACATGACATTGGTCTCAAATTTTCATTATTGAATATCCAACCCTGGACTTTGAAATTAAGCTTTTCGTAGTCCAGAAATATTGCTGATTGCAAGAACACATTGAACCTGTCTTTCTAATTTGATACTTTTGCAGGGGCACTATAAGTTTTTCGAGAAGAAGTTGTCAAACAGTTCTTGCAGCACATTTACTTTCCATTGTGAGGGTTATTGCTCCAATCCTGCCTCATTTGGCTGAGGATGTCTGGCAGCATCTTCCTTTTCAGCATACTGCTGAAGATGGCACTATTGCCAAATTTGTTTTTGAGTCAGGGTGGCCAGCGACAGATGAAAAATGGCTTGGTTTCCCTTTGGAAGAAATTGATTTTTGGGGGAAAATTCTTGAGGTAATCACTCGTCTTTCAATAAACATAGCAAATTGACCTAAACAAGAGTTTAAATAATGCAAGTGTATGCTTCCATTAGAAAATAAAAACCGCAGTATCATTTATGCATGGATAATTCATAGTTGTATTATCATATCTATTACTACGAACTATTATTTGTAAAGGATTCTTTCACCAAGACAACCTGCTAAATTAAATTACAATGCTGAAGGTCATCTGTCCTCATTAAGTTGGTAGCTTAGGAAGTAAATGCCATTGGTGTTGTGCCCACAAACAAGGATTCAAGTTTGCAGAGTCTAAGGTTGAACCTTTGTCATCTCACTGCTTAGTACGAAAAAAAGGAAAAATAAAAAATAAAAATAAAGTGACATCTCATTATTTTCTTAACTATTTTTTGAGGTGGAACAAAGAAAAGAACAACCTTTTCCCAAGATGTCTAGGTTCTATAAAGTTTTGGGGAATATAATGTTTTATCTTAAATACGTCATCTGCCTTCTAATTAATTTACAGGAAATTGTGAAAATGATATAACTTGATTTTGCAAAATAACTTGGTAATTATTTCAGTGGTTCTTTTAATGTTTGAGGGAGTAATGACATATCAATTACTGGAAATATTTGTGATGTGGTCTGAACAAAACGCTCTCTGAAGAAATACATACATAAATCATGCATCTGACTATTATGTGCCTCTTTCACGCCCTATTGCAGCAATCATTTTTTTATTTGAACATTTTTGTACCTAAATTTGCTAGCTATACTCCTCTCATGCACCAGTAAAATTGGAATAAATATTGGATTTAATTAGATATTTTAGCAACGAAAAACATTTGTTCTAATATGAATCTCTTTGACCAGCTGAGAACTGAGGTGAATAAAGTCCTAGAGGTTGCTCGTACTGGGAAGTTGATAGGTTCCAGTTTAGATTCAAAGGTCTATCTCCATACCTTTGATAATGACCTGGCTGAGAGATTAAATGAAATGTGTGCAGCCAAAAATGATGCAGACACATTGCATCGCATATTCATTACATCTCAGGTATGTTGCTTTCTATATTACACAATTTACACCAGATTTATGCCTATTGTGCTCGATCTTGCATTGCCCATCTCTTTGCTCCCCCCCCCCCCCCCCCCCCCCCCCCAAAAAAAAAAAAAAACCACCTAGGATATATTAGGGTAGCAATTTGTAGTATTGAGTGATCAAAGTAATATTCAAAGCAAAATTGCTTTAACAATCTTTCTTCGGATTGCTTTCCTTTGCATTTGAAGCGTACTTTCTTATTCTCCATGGCTTTTGAATGGGTCAAACCTGATTTTTCTTCCCTTTTAATAAGATAATCTTATTTTATGGTTGCGTTTCAGTGCTTGCGTATGTCATGCATGGTTTGTTTGGTATTGTTGATGGATATTGCAAATAAATTTGTAGTTCCATACCCAATATAGTGGTCATAAAGTTAGGTCTGTCCATTAGTTAGTGTACTAGGAGCATGAAGGGAGGGACTGTGAACCATGGGCATAGTAAATGACACATCACTACCAAAGTATGGTCTCTCCTAGTTTTCAACTTTGGTAGGTAGAAACTTTGCACCACAACCACATTATAGTTCTTCATGCTTACCGTAATGCTCCTCAAAAGATAACAGATAAATTGTCCATATGACTTCAACTTTGGAGAATGCCTATTTAAATGGTGATATGCAGGTAGAGATTCTCCCAACTGTGGAGAATGCACAAATTGAAAATATACCATACGCTGGAGAATACATCATTGAAGGAGGGAGCAGAGTTTGGATTGGTGTGTCACATGCAGAAGGTTCAAAATGTGAGAGATGCTGGAATTACTCGCCTCAAGTCGGTTCTTTTTCTGAGCACCCCTCACTTTGTAGCCGATGTTACAATGTTGTTGGTGCTCAACCGATTCCTGCCCTAGCAGCAGTCAGCTGAGATGTACTGATGAGAAAGATTTCAGATACCAAAAATATAGTTTAACTTGTTACCGCCTGAGTTTGTGACATTCAATCAAGATATGCTCCTCAAGTTTCTATGCTTTCTTCACCAAGCTCTGGGATCTTGGTTTGCTCCTCAAATGGGGAGGACATTAGGTATTGTGAGTTCAAAATGCTGCTTAGCACCGGGGGGTTATTCAACCTGTGAGAAGGGAAAGGTTGCCAATTTGTTGTTTGCGGAACTGATTTCTTACAAGTATGATGAGGAACAATCTGACGAATAGATTCTATATTTTCTCGTACATTCTTTGTTTTGTTGGCTGAGAATCAATTAGGTTGTCAAGGCTCAAACAATCCAAAAACATATACCGAAAGGAAAATAGAATTAGAAATGTAACCACACTATTAGATACTCCTTTCAACGCTCTCGCCTTTTGGCATGGTGATGAGACATATGCGTATATAATGTTATGATTTATCATGATTAAGTTAGAAAAAAGATTTTTGGATGGATTTGGGATCATTTTATTTAGAAAAAATGATATTCAGGCCACTAGTTAGACTTTGACATCATGACTGTTATATTTAATATGGTCTGCACATATGACAATTCAGTGAGAGTCGGATAACAATTGCTAACTTCTTCTATTAAATATTATTATTATTATTTTTTGAAACATTGGTAACTGATAACTAAAGCTGAAATGAATCATCTGATGCAACACTTTGCGCCATCTTCTTGTTGAAAGCATGCCCATCAAGCTCAATCCCTCAAGAGGGGAATGGAAACTGTTGCCATGCTTGATCAGGTGGCAATGGTATATAAACCATCTGCTTGCACTTTTCCCCGATAAAAATACGGAGTAGGATTTGCCATTTCACAATGCAAAAGAACACTTCGTACATGGTCCAGCACAAGCACGAAATATTCGCACCCCGCAGCGGGTACCACTTTCCCGAATTTAAATGCTGAACATCCTACATGCGATCAATAGAGCTGTGATATTGAGTCATACAGAAAATGGCATCATGGACCTCATCCTCACAAGATCTCAGAAACTTTGCAGAAAACCTGATTGATTATTCATCTAGTTGAATTTTGACGCAATGCTCAAACAAGAAATAGCCGAATCGTGTCGATGTATTTCACAGGTGAGTGGTGGCAATAGAAGGGCACGACAGTTGTTGACTCTAGCACTAGTGTAAGGATAAATAATTCTAAAATTCTCATGTTACAAAGATGAGAGCATGTCGTAAACTTCCATGCACACCTCAATAATTGACAAACATTCTGTCAGTGACATATCGGAGCTGATCGTCTCCTGAATTTTGTTATGGTTTGCATAAGCTCAGATCCCTATTCCTCCTGGATCTCTATTGGAAGATCCTGTAAGAAGAAAAATAAGTTACACTCGTCTTGGCTCTGAAAAACAATGCTATGGTAAGTTAAAAATGCGAAACTCGAAAAGAAGCCTACGTGTGGCATCATCCCTCATCTGTGAAACAAAATGCTCACAAAAACACCAAAACCATGCAATTTAAATTTCACAAACATGATGAGCTTTGGACAACACACGCACTCCTCTACTAGCTAACACCAGAATATGGAATTTGGTACAAATCAAAAGCTAACACACAAAAACATGCAATTTAAACCAAAAAAGGACAAAGTTAGGGTTTGGCCCGTCTGGGGGAGGGGAGAAATAAGCTCATTAGATACCAGTCTTTTGCGCAAATGTAAATGGACCGCCTACTTGGTTTCCAATTTCTAGTAAAAAAAATTGCATACCCGTAAATATTTTACCATTTTTATTTTCAGACTTAATTACAGGTCTAGTGAAATTTATTTCTCAAAGCTCATATACCTACATTGGGAAGACCATGAAGAAACTTTACACCCTAAGAGGAACAGCACTTCAGACGGTCTTTCCAGATTAATTTAAAGAAATAAAAATTACATTTATAATGTGATGATAGGATTAGACGGTACCTGTGTCTGTAATAGCTGATGTGATTGCTGATCTTGGGCCATTGAATAGGCTTGTGGTTGAGACATTCGGTAATACGGCTCTTTAAGATCAAATTTGCAAGATGATGTCTGGAGTATTTCTCCTTGTGCAGCACCAGGGCCCCACGTTTTAGCTATTCAAATTAACATACATAAATTATTAGATTCAAAGCATTCTAGGCTTACTAGCAATACAGAAACAAAAATGCTTATAAAATGAATAACATAAAGACCAACCTGACAATGTTAGGTAAATAGTATAACTCTGAGCATTGTGGGCAATCATGTGGAGTCGGCCAGTAATTTCTTGTCCTGCCATGGCATAAAGCGGCTGAAAGAGAACACAACGTAGCTGATACCAATGGGTTGTCGGTGCACCAGGAGCAGTAGTCAGCCACCTTTGTACAGTGCTGCAGAACAAAAAGAATTACATTACACAAAACAGCAACAAGATATCGATAGAGGGATATTGCACAACCTTGAAGTATTGATATAATATAGTATATTGATATCACTCTTTCTTTTTCTTTTCTTTTCTTTTTTTCTTTATTGGGAGATACGAATAGAAAATGATAAAAGTTTTGATGCAATTTCGAGAATGGTCGAGAGATACTACATGATTAAGACTTAAAATAATGCATATGTAATGATTCTTGACAAGCAAGTATGCGCCATGCAGTGAAATGCATGCTGCAAAATATATCCATAAAGAACATCAAAAAGTTAATTAGATCAAAAAACGAAGCTCCAACATAAATTTGCTATTATATAAAGTTCAGATACAGAGATATACAACCACGAGTGGTGAAATTATATAGAGTTCGGTTGAGTTCATTCCTTTCCCCGTTGGGAGTTAAAATCCCCAGGTAGGTTGCTCATAAAACCCCATCCAAGTCAATACAATATACACAATTAAATGGTTAATAATTACTAAATTACCTATATTATTTAAGTGGTAGACATGGCTTGACATGTCCTTACCAAAATCTTCAGAACACCTCACTCCTGAATTGGGTAAAAATCAAGTATACTTGTAAAAGACAAACACAAACAATAAGAAAGAAAAGGCAAAACTAAAAAACAAAATCACTCAGTACAGATTAGGGCTGCAACTTGGGAGGGCTAACCCAGCCCAAGCCAACCCTAACCCAAAAAATTTGAAATTTGGGCTTAAAATTAATAAATCGGGCTTATGTTCGGGTCGGGTTTTGTCAAAACCCAGACATCTTCGGGTTGGGCTCGAGCTCAACCCGAACCCAACCCAAAATAAAAAAATTAATTTTTTTATTTTTTTTTCTCCTCTCTCTCTCTCTCTCTCTCTATGCCGCCATCCCCGCTGTTGCCGCCGCCGTCCCTCAGCCGCTGATCTGCCGCCACCGCCGTCCCTCCGCCTCTGCCACCGTCACTTTCAAAAATTAAAACTACCCATACATACAAGTTAGCAGTTGCAGAGAGAGGTGCAAGCTTAAGAGTTGAGAGACAGCGGCTGAAACTTGCGAACGGCGAACCCGAACTGGAACAACGGGCGATGGAAACTGAAAGATATGAGTTTTGATTTTTTGAACAATCTGAAATGATATGCCAATATGGGTTTTGATATAGGTAATAGGTTTTGAACTTTTGATTCTTGCAGACAGATAGATAAACTGAAATATATGGATTTTGAACTTCTGATTATTGTAGATTTTGTAGTTTGCAGTTGCAGAGAGAGAGAGAGGGCAAGTTTAGAGTCGAGAACGAGAATAGAGATGGAGGCGATTGGGGAGGCTGAAATGATTTGCCCTAAAAATATTTTGTTTTTTAATAATAATATAATCAAATATATATAATAGATATATATAATGTATATAAATTTCTGGGGAAAAAAAAAAAAAACTCAATCCGTCAACCCAACCCAACCATCCCGAAAATATTCAGTCCGGGTTATGACCATAACCCATGTTAGTTATAATTCGGGCTGGCCCAACCCAACCCGATTCGGTGGGTTGGGACTGGGCTGGGTTGGGCCAGCCCAACTTGCAACCCTAGTATAGATGCATTTTTTTTTTTAATTCTTGTGCCAATTGCGTTATGGCATACCCACAATGTACTTATAAAGAGAGTAAAATAAAAAATAAAAAAACAAACTAGTATTTCTCAATCACTTTGTAATGCGTAATACATCTGAATCATAAAATTGTGTATCAAAATATTTCATAATATTTGTTTAATTTGTAGACAATTTCTAAAAAATTAACAAATCAATATATGTTATCTATAGTCTATATCAGAATATAAAAATATAACACATTTATGAATAGTTTAAGCCTGCCAAATTCTTTAATGGGCTTTGTATCAAGCAATAATACACACATGCACATATATGTTTGTGTTATCATGTCATATATTCCATATTGACTGACGTAAAGAGTCTTAAATTGAAACATAAGCAATATAACTTTTTCTTTTTAAATCTGAAATCTGTGGTAAGTTGTGATTCTTAAAACACAAAGTGGTCAATATAAAACACAATAACATGTTGTTTCTCAACCCATCTATATCTTATAATATATGGCCGTGATAAATTGCATTATTTTCCATGAAATGAACCCACAACTCCAAGAAGAATGATGCAGAACCATGGTTATTACCAAAAAAATACATTGTTTAATGTAAGATAATTACCTCCCATTGAACAATACATCAAACCAGCATGACAACCCATGAATTCTACCACCCACAGTGGCTGTGAATTTCAAGGGAATGTCAATTTCATACAAATCTTCTTCCTGCAGAATAAAATTTTAAAAGAAGTTCTTTAATCAACAACATTGATTTAACAAGGCATTGAAAGCAGGTACTAAGGCACAAGACATTCTGCATTCTAGCACATGCTACAAAGCCAAACATTCAGGATGAATGGATTAGACACTTTGTCAGATGTCAAACTTCTGCATCAATAACTTTTTCGCTGCATCTATAAAATTTTCCACTTACCTTGGAAGAAGGGGAAAAAAAAAAATTCCTCGCTGCATAAATTGCAGGTTGGCACAGCAAGGAACGAGTAGTAATTGGTAAAGGGTACAGACAAATTAATGTAAAAGGGAGCGGGAGTGGAAATATGTATGGAAGCACAGCCTTGTCCACAAAATAGTAAAATTTTCAAGAAAGATTTTTGGCAGAGAACGGATTTCATAACCGAAAAAAAAAAAAAAAAAAAAAAAAAAAAAAAAAAAAAAAAAGCCATCTTCTTTTATATAATTTTAGATAGAGAAATAGCGTGTACCATATTTATCCTTTATAAAGTATGAAGGGCATCTGGCAAACTAAAATAGAAACATGTACTGCCATTTACAAGCACCAGATATTCCAAGAGTAACTAATACCTTTATAGAAGTGAAGTTTATCACATGAGATATTGAGGGAGCAACCAATAACCTCGGGTCAAAAGCGTCAACCACAGGCTGTATAGAAAGAAAGTATATGGTTAGGGGAAAAGGCAAAACTCACCATTAAATATTGAGTACTGTTAAAACAAAAACATGAATCGTAGCAGCCAGGAGCACAAGAACAAGAGCAGGTAAACATGCATGAAAATATGAAACAACTAGAAGTTCTTCTAGAAGGTAGAATTTAGCTTTAAAACCAATTTAAATATAATATTTATCATTTTCTGAATTAGAAGTGCATGAACCAATTACAATTGTTAGCAGAATGCAATATAGGACGTATATGGTAACCAATTTAATATAAGCAAATACAGAAACAACTACATGTTAGATCAAAATTAAGTTGCATTGTTTCCTAATTTGATGATCCAATATACCCTTCCTTGATTTTGAATGGAAAGATCTTCTTAACTCTTCATACAAGAAGTCAACGGAAAAAAAATCAGTAATACCAACTTCTTTTTTTTTTTTTCCCCTAAATTAAAATACCTCTTAATATCAAGCTCAGGTACAAAATCTAATAGTAGCGTAGAGATTTCAACTACGACCTTAACAAATAAAGACTTCCATACTGAAACTCAATTACAAATTAAAAAATAATAAACAAATACAGGCAGAAGAAAAGATTGTTTCAAGTTCTAATTTCTGTTTACAAGTTTTCAATTTCTAAACTTAATTCAGATATGTAGAAAAAGAGGTTCAAAAGCCAATAAGAAGCTACAAAACATACTTGTAGAATTGTAAAACCAAAGACCGACTTAAAATTTCGAACACATTCCAGAAATGCAAGATAGACCTGAGAAAAATATCCTTGGAATGCAGATCCATGTAAGGCCGTTAGATCAACCCCGTAGTAATTCGGTTGCTGCCAAAAGAGGGCCTGTATAATAAAGAGCAATAACATTTTAGAATTTTAGGCTTTCAATAAGTTAATAACATGAAACAGAAAACATATACTAATGAACATTCTAAATACCGTAATAAAACTAAGACCAATAAAAGAAACAACAGATAACTGTAGCAATGATCAGATACATATGAGAAAAAAATAATAAATAAATAAATAAAACAGACAAAAAAAAAAGTGTCAAAACAGATCTTAATCCTAAACATCTAAGACATAAGCTAACAAACCCAGAGCTTTTCATTAATTAATTTGTTTTTGTAAACTACAATCTACATGCAGATAATTGTATGACTGACTCATAAACTGTATGCAAACGGACAGACTTGAACAGCCTATTATATTTGATTCTTGGTATTGGATTTTAAAGATGAAAAGGAAGAGGAAATAAACCCCCCATCAGTTAGATAACAGGTTTCTTAAATTGTTGCATCCCTTCATGGAAGTTCAGAGGACAGATGATTATCAAAAACATGAAAAAAGAATAACGTCGAGAAAACATTTGAATACATACCTTATTAGCTATTTCTGCAAATAAATATTCATCACTGAATGGCGCCATGTGTATTCTACAAGAGTAAATAATTTTATAACATAAAACCAACAAGTAAATCAAATATGAAAGCAAGAAGAAATAAATAAATAAGTAAATAAATGGAAAAACAAAGAAATAAACACAAAAACCCTCAGTGCCACAATAGCTAAATCACTCCTGCATGAATACCTTAAGCAAACCAACTCATACAAAGGGTGTATGCAATAAAAGAAATAACAAAAGTACTCCTAACATCAAAAGCATTGATAGAATCATAATCAGTAATAGTCCGCTGTAGCACTAGCAATTCCAGCGCATTCGAGAAATCATAATCAGTATTATTCTATTGAATAGAAAAATTAAAAATAAAAAATAAAAAAATCTACAAGGAATACCATGGGTGATCATGAACTTGAATGTTTTTCATGCCCCAAATACCTTGTAGTTCAGACCTCAATCATATAACAAGCTAAGAAATCCATAGATGACACAAAAGACAGCTCCACTTCGCGATTATAATGGCAAAGTAAAATTAGCGGCAGTGCGAGTTCACACAATAAGAATCTTGTCAGAAGAACATTACGCATCAAACCGTTAAATACCACCTTGTTCACATTTTCAACGTTGTTAACATTCTGAAGGACGACATTACCAGTAGTCAGAAAATGCCAATAGTAGTTCCTTAGACTGAATACTTCAACTCGGCCAGCTCACAAGGTTATAAAGATGCAAAATTTTTACCACTTCAAATCATCAGATACAGTTTTTAGTTGGAGAAAAACAAATATGAAAATGATAGGGCTTGTAAGAAGAAAAAACAATGAAATTGTAAGGTCATTCATTCATGATTGACAAGTCCCATAAAATTACAATAGGGTTTTAGTAAATTTTCATGGAAGTGCATAATATACCAAACAACTACACCAACCCACAGACACCAAAAGATACTGACAACAAAATGGTGGATAAAGCCTCGTAGAGTCTTTATGAGGAGCTTCATTAGTCATTACAAAGCAGTGCCTAGAATTTGGTAGAAATTCAAGACCGGTTATTATCATCATATATTTTATTTGCATTATTATTTTGTTCTGTTACTTTATCTCTCTTTTCACAAAAATATTTTTTCTGACTTTAGAAAGTGGACACTCCATACATGACATGTTTTTGACCATTTGTCCTTAAATAAACTTCTTCCACAAAAACACGTAATGACTAGAGACAGTGCCAAAATCGTTTCAAGGTCTGTGAGAGAAGTATCGCATCCGGCACGATGTTGGACACAAATAGTTCTGTCAAAGAAAGTGTATGTGCCTAATAGTATAAAACATAAGATTTTTAACATATACACAAAGCTCATGTAGTGGAGTGCTAGAATCAAGTATGACACATGAAACCATAAACTATAACACTTTGACAGACAAATAGTATACAAAACACCAGCATTAAGATATGATTTGATTTCACTGAATCATTTCAATAGCAGAACAAACTTTGGTGCGAAAGAAATAAGTCTAAGGTGTGATCATAAAATATTGTAATCAAAGTTCAAATGGGTTAGGGCAAAAAGCACATCAAACTATTGAGGGGGGTGGAAGGGTAAGGCATTACAAGTCATAATCACCTTCCTACAGTAGGAAACATTTTCCCATTAGAAACAAGAAACCGATCTCTTGCAATTACATACGACTCCAGCATTCTTTCATTGACTAACAAGGTGCCTGCAAGAGAGGGAATATATGTTATGTTAGACTTGCTTGTGAACAATGAAGGTTGCTAGGACGGTAGGAAGTAGAAGTCAAAAACCAAAAGAGATTTTTTTTTTTTTTTTTTCTGAGTAAAACCAAAAGAGAAAAATTAAAGGGGCGTCGTAACAAAATTCTTAGCACACGGTCATTCCTAACATATAATGAACAAATTAGCAGGAAAAATATTTGTGCTCACAGCAAAAAGAAAAAATAAAAGCTTCAAATACACTACCGTTAAGGGAAAATACCATCTGAGCTCATAAATACAGTACACTAATATTGCAGCTAGATTCCCAAGCAATATGCAGGGAAGCGTTAGCAACAAAAACCACTTTAGCCAATAGAAGAAGAATATTATATACAAATATTTAACTGTGGTCCCATATCCTTGGTTTCGGGAATTAACAAGTGTCACAAATAGACACATACACACACCCAATAAATGTACTTGAGTCCATATAACACAGATTAGAAGGCGGGCGCACCAAATAGCCCACATTAACGGCCAATAAATCAAGAGACAGTTGATCAATTCTGGGGAGGATTTGAAAAGCGCAACCTATCTGGAGACATCCGATTGATAGATCAATAACTTAAAAATCCTGCCAACAACCTCATTTAATACGAAAATGCAACCTTAGAAGAGAGACACTTTCCAATTGAGATATTGATGTAGCAGAAATTGTAATATTTAGATGACTTTTTAGATTTAGTATTCAGTTTCATTGCTAATATTTCAATTTTGATACAAGTTTATTTTATTTACTCAATTGAGTCTTACAGCTGTTTTTATACCCATTGTGGGCCCTATCATATACGGGTATTAGTTTAGTGTCCATTGATGTGTTTAGTGTTGAAAAGTATGCCTACATAAAGATTAAAAATCATGCTTTTAAGAGGGAGATAGAGAGAGAGAGAGAGAGAGAGAGAGGAGTTAAAAGGCATGAAGTTGCTTGTGCATCCTCCCTCCAAAAAATTTTTCATCTTTCTCTTTCTCTAATACTTATCCTTCCCAGTTTTATTTCTTGTTTCAAGCACACTAGCATCATTACATTAGCTTTTCGACAAAAAGTTCTCTTCTCTTGATCAAGAAAGCGGTAAAGCCAGTCAGAAAGAGGAAAAAAACATATTTCCTTCTATCCAAGATGGGTCAAAGGACCAACAGGCCAATGGCCTAGCGGTACCAAGCTCCTACTTCTCAAAGAGAAGTCAGGGGCTCGAGCCGCAGTAGAGGCATGTGTGTGTGAGTACCAACTAGGAAAAAAACAAAAAGACGGGACAAAGGAACCGGGAAACTCTAAAAAGAAACTAGCCCATGATTACCACGAAATGCTAATGTGTAACGTTTTGGAATGCATTTCAAACCATGGAACACTTTTGTTACAAAACAGTAAACTTAGAGATCCCAAAGTTTCTTGTTATTTCTTCCCTTAGTTTTCTTTTAAGAAAATGATAAGAGGAAAGGACTGTAGCAAATCAAGAGATCAACATGAATAGAACAGGCTTAAGTTAATGCTTTTACATGCATAACCTTTTGGCTCTATTTTGCTTGGTCTCACGAGCCTCCAATAAATTATCAAAATATTAAATTAGTTTGCAGATTATAAAGAAACTTTTAACAGTTAAAGTTCACTATTGACCAAAGAAAGATAGAAGACGTGTTATTTAGGGAAAAAGAAAAGATAGAAGACGTGTTGTCATACAAGAATGACTGAAGAATATATGATATGATGGTCATACCCATTGGCTCAGAAATTAAAATATCTGCTTTCTCAGGCAATTCAACTTCTTCAACTTTACCCTTGATTACCTATAATCAGATGACATGGTGCCCCAAAAAGAATGAGATAACAGTCCAATGATGAAGTTGAGAGAAGGTTAGATTGCATCAACAACAACAACCAAAAAATCACCGTAATTCTTTGACCCAGTGATGGGTTTCCAGCAATAAGTTTTCGGGCATATTCTGCCATTTCAGATGCTTCCACGGCATAAACATGTTTTGCGCCAGCCTAATGTGGGGGAAGATAGAGAGAGAGAGAGAGAGGGAACAGGAGATCATTCAACAAAAATCCACCGCAAAGATATCAATGTGCTGTACATTTCCATGCGCAAGCACAGGAAATAAATTTGCACCCCACAAGGTGTAATATGTTTATTGAAAAGCCAAAAGCACCTGAGCAGCAAACAATGACAGAATACCGCTACCAGCACCGACATCCACCACCACGCGACCAGTAAAATCTGCACGGTTCTCTATGACTGCAGCATAATAAGTTCCTGAAAATAGCATTTTACCATGTCATTTGACATCCAGCATGCAATCCACAATGCGCAATGTAGAGGTACTCCCCTTGACATATTTTGAGGAAAAGCAAAAAGTTTGTCAAGATACAATACACTGTAGCAGCACAAGGGATTGCATAGTCATTTAACAAAAGACTTTCAGTATAATTAATTAAATGAGTGTTTAAATATGATATCCGAGAGTAGATACATTAGATAAAATTGAAGGAGCTACAAGTGAAAGGCTTGGTGATATAACCTGTCCTCACATAATCCTGCAACATATTTTGCTGATGTAGAAGCTGTCCATAGTAATGGAAATACATTTTAGAAGAAGATGCCTCAATTTTGTCATCAAACTTGCTTTTAGAAGCTAATACTGTTCCATTTTGTAAAAGCGATTCTGTAAGGAAAAACAACACATAATTAGCACATTTACACCATAGTGAGCACCTGCTTTTGGTTCAGAATTTTATTTCAGGTCTTGTTGTAATCCCATTTGTTCAGTACAATAGACAGAAGAAACTAGCTGCAAAATATTTGAAGAACTGGTGCAGTTGAAAACACTGTCACAGAACCAAAGAAATGCGCAACTTTTAACATTCATAAACAGGCAAGCGTAATGGGAAATCCTTGAGACATTCTACAGCATCTAATTCAAACTGTGTGCACACATCTATATGTAGGCAACCGCACCTCACACACATAAGACCCTCTGACATCTGCACGTAGGCAATCATAATGCATGTATATGCCATACTCCCTGACACCAACATATTGGTAGGAACCTCGAGATATTCTACAACAGACAATACAAGCTCTGCAACCAATGATGGAGCCACGTTAGGCTCGGGGGAGCAGCTGGCCCCTGAAATTTTTATCTACTTTTAATGTATGCAACTTTGTGAAATCTTACAAAATCCCCACTAGAAGAACCCCTTTCTAATTATCTCTTTAACTCTTCCTTTCTTTTCTCTTTAGCTGCTTCTTCAAATTTCTTTGATCCCTTCAAAAATATTTGCATTCCCCTTCTCCAATCAAACCCTAATTTTTTCACCTCCAAAGTTCTCTCATTTTTCTCTTCTTAAAATTTCTTCTTCTTGTACTCATGAATGATGTATATGCAATATCCCTTTTTCTCCTTCTTCTTCTTTAAATTTATTAATGCAATTTTTATGAACTTAATGTCTGTATTTTATTTTTCTGGATTTTGTTTGTGAATAATGACATACTATTTGGATCTTGTTTACTACACTTCTATTTTTTTCACCTTGTTGTCTTGCGTTAGTTGACAAAAAGTAGTTATTCTATGTTAAATATGCCTCCCTGAAATAAATTTCTCGCTATGTTACTGTCTACAACTCTCTCTCTCTATATATATATATAACACATGCACACACAATTATAATGAGACCATTGGGATAATATAACCTCTGTGCTCACAAATTACTAATATTTTAAAACCACTATGGTCACATATATAAACCAAGGCACTAAAAGCTCGCATATTTTACTAGCTCTCTCTTGAGCATAGTTTGGGCGATCTATTGTCAACACGCAAACTTACTTCCTTAAACCAGCAGTTTGAAACAAGAGATTTAAGTGCCAACGTCTATGGTGACAAAGCATATATATTAGTTACTGTCCAACATATTAGTCACATCATAGAACTGGTGATTCGTTAATACTTGCCAATACATAGATAGTAGTTATTAGTCAACTGACTCAACTTCCATCAGTTACAGGGCCAATTGACCATAAATAATTAATGCATTCAAGAACAAAAATTCTATGTGCTGGCAGGAGAGACATAATTTTTACAAATATATATATATATATATATATATATTCACATGATTTAAAGCACAATATTCTAATATATGTATACCTTGCAATAATTCTCCATAGAAATTATGAGCAAAACTCTGAAAACGTTTTAATACAATTCCAGCAATCAATGTCACTCACAAACTAAAAATAAGATGAGTTGCAGGAATCATGATGGGATTATAAATTCACATCTCACATGTGACTTTTATACATAAAAAATTAGAACTGTGGGTGGATATCAAAATAGCACCTTGAACATCCCCATCCTTCTTCCATTGCTCAAATGCATTATGGAAGGCCCTACTCTCCTCCTCCTTCATAAATTGAATTGTGATTCCCCTTGAATAGTTTGTCTGGTTCAAAAGTATAAATGTTAACAGATATGAACATGAACATCCAATAATGTAAAATCGAATTTTACACCAAAATGCCTATTAAATTGGAGACATTAAGATATATCCTCAACGGTGAGGTTTTTTGAAGTTAAACTTTGGTATATACAAATATAATAATCTTCACAACTAGGGATTCCAATAGATAACGATTTCAATAAACTTAAATAGACAGAAGAATTTTTTTCTTTCTTTCTTTGTAAAGGCAGAAAATTTTACACTGCCAAAGCAACCTAAAATCAAAAAATCATTGAGAGGAAATATAATAAACTGCCAAAATTTACCTGTAATAGATTAGAGAACTAATAAGTTGTATTTTTTTTTTTTTTTCTTTCCATACCTCTTTACTGGATTCTGATACTTCAGATATGCATACCGATTCGACAGGACTCAACTTGAAAAGCTGCAAGATCACAAACAGAAAAATAAATAAAATAATCAGATAACACTCTCTTTCAATACATTACTTCCCAGAATTTTGCGGCAAACACACTTTTTTCAAAAAAAAAATAAATAAATAAATAATCATAGAAACCTTTAAATTTTAAGGTGATAGTAATCAGCAGTGAAATCAAAACTTTCAAAAAGTAAATCAAAATTAAATAAATTCGTGCACATCTTTACTCCATTCGGCTGCTGATAAAATGTAAAAATCAAGAGAACCTAAAGTTCTGCAAATCTATGTAATTGACAATTATTTAGGGGGAAAAAAAAAAAAAAAACAAGCATCCTCATCTCATAGCAACAAAAAGAACATTGCTGATGTTCACCTGAGCGGTCTGAAGATCAACTTTTATAGCATCGTTCGATTCAGATTCTTGGAGTAATCGAAGCTCTGCGAGGCCAGAATTGATGCTGAAACGAGCAACAACAGGCGAAGGAGAAGACGTTGAAGAAGACGACGAGAGCAGCGATATAGACGCCAAAGAGAACTCTTGTAAGTGTTTGTTCTTTTGCCCTAGTGAAACTTCCATTGTTGCACTCATCGAGTTCAGTGACTGATATATAATATATGTATATAGATGTATATGTATATATGTAAGGGTTTCTGTGGAAAGAAAAAGCGCGAAGTTGGAAGAGTTTTTAGAGCCGCCAATAGAAGAACTCAAAACAATCGCTTTCTTCTACTATATATAAGGTTTTATATACACAGTGACACACATATTCACCATGTATGTATAGTGTATCGCTACCTTCCGACTGTGTTAACGACGGTTCATTGGGACCGCATATTATGCTTTCTTTGCTTTGTCACTTTGGTATTATCACTGACACGGGAATAATGATATATCGCAATGGCGTGTGAGATTAAGAAACGTATTAGAGTAATACAAAATCAATCTAGTCCGCTGATCATGTGGTCCCAGAGGTCGTGGGGCCTTTGATGTGTTGAGTTCGGATCAGACGCGGAACGTGATTGACGGTATGAAAAAATATGGTAATTATTCATTACAGAAAATAGATTATTTAAACTTCCAAATAGAGAGAAAATATATTATTATTACCTTTACTACAAGGATAATTACCAAAAAAAAATTTAAAATTATGGGAGTTGCATTTGCAGTACTGAATTAGAATGGAAGAAAAAAGTGCGAACAAATTATAGAGGTGAGCAAGATATCTATACTTTAAAAAATAAGCAGTTTGCCCCAAACTTGTGTTAAGTGCAAAAATAACTCCCAAACGTGCATAATTGATTTTTATTTTTTAAAAATGTACATGTTAGTCTATAAAATTCAAAAAAAATACAAATAAGTCACTCTGACCATTTTTTTGACAAAAACTAAATATGAAAATTCTATTTTACCCTTTTGATTCCCCTTTTGTCCCTCACCCATATGTGCATATAAACTCATACATATTTCCTCCACTCAACTTCGTTTCATTTGGGCATACTCATATCTAATGGGTTAACCCGTTTTTATTTGGTATTCCTCCACTCAGCTTCGTTCCATTTGGGAAGCCTAAAATCTCTATGTCAACTACCATTTAAACAAAATAAAAATCAAATTTCAATTCAAAAAATCAAGAATCTAATCTGATAATTTTGTGTAAGATAGATAAAGTGAAAAACCTTAATTCTCTACTCCAATACAAACTTCATGAAAAAAAAAAAAAAAAAAAAAAAAAAAAAAAAAAATCAAATTTGACATTCAAAACAACCCATGGATGAATCACAGTTGAAGATCAAAAAAAAAAAAAAAGGTTGGATCGTCGTCATCTTCGGCATATGCATCGTTCTAGTTCACATTGTGTTGAATGATTTGTGACTCTTTTTTCATAGATTTTTCACCTCTTTGCCTTGTTCATTTATCTTCTTCTTCAATTCCTATCATTGCCGAAGTTAGAGGTGGACCATGGAGAGGGAAAAAGAGGGAGGAAGCCGGATCGAAGAGGCTGTCGTGATACTAATCTTGCACCCTACGATAATTCTCTTGCTCTGATTTATTCTGAATCTGGTCCATTCGTTGAAATATGGGTGATGATGGAAGAAGGGTGTTGGACAAAACATTTAACGGTTGAACTCATTTTAAAGCACAAATCACCTCTTGGGTTTTGGAAAAACGGTTAGCTTATTGTGGAAACTATCTGTGATGGTCATATGGGCTTGTATGATCCAGAGACTCGTGAAATTAAAGCTCTTGTTGGATCTTAATTCTGGGTCAAGGTCTTGATCTACAAAGAGAGTCTAGTTGTAGTTAGGAGCATAGATGGATTATGGTAGAAGTGGTTTAGGGGGAGAAGGCGGCGGCCATGGTAGGGAGGAAGTGGGACTGTTTGGTTTCGATTTTTATTATATCCAGATTTAGGTTTCTCTGGTTTAACTTATGCCAATATTATACATTTTGAGGTTTATTTTGTTCTTGTCCCAAAATAAACACAATTTTACACAAATTGGACAAAATGGTCATTTTATATAGCCTGTATTTATAGTTATTAATTTATTCAACTGAAGTGAGGATATTATCGTCATTTTATACCACACTAGACCTATTTGCACCAAATTGACAGTATAGGGGGATTTTATACCACACATGGACTTTTGTTGCACTGTATCGATAGTAGATGGGGGATTTTTGCACTTACCCCAAACTATCCTGCCAATGTTACTTTTACATATGACAATTTTACCCTTTTGTCTAAAGCGTCTTCCATTCATTTGAGTAACCCAACTTCTTATCCTTCTTCCTTCTAATATATTTTTCTTCCCTGTTTCCAGAATGTTTGCTATATATATATATATAATATATATTACCAGTTCATTCATGAAAGCTTTGGGTTAATTACAATGACACCCCCTGAGGTTTGGGGTATTGACGGGCATATATAAGTTAGCCATTTTTTGAACACTCACACCCCCTGTCCGAAATTTAATCCAAACAAGCCCTTAAAAGTTGTGAAAAGACGAAATTACCCTTCAGTAAAATACCAATTATTAATCTAAAATATCAAAAAATATATAAGAACTACCCTTTTTAAATCATAGGTTTTTCTCTCAACCCTTTGCCCCGAAAAAACCCAAACTCGATGACCGGTGCCGCGCCACGCCGCAGCCGCCGCTGCAATTCCGACCTCTGCGTCGTGCCGGGCCGCCACCGCTGGAGTTCCGAGCTCTGCGTTGAGGACTAACGAGGATGCTATCAAGCCGTTACAAGAATCGTGAACCAAAAAATCGTCGCTGGAATCGCGACTGATTTGCCTGGCAACGGCCTCTAGCCAACAAAAACTCCGGATACTCTCCTGCAATGGCCTCTGCCCGAACCTTCATCGTCATCTATTTTTAGCAAGAGGGAGACTTGGTGGGATGAAACGACGGCCGAGAATAGTGGCTGTGATCGATCCGGCGGGGACGGGTTGGCGGTGAGTTCTGCGAGGATGAACTCGGCCTCAGCTTTGGAAAGCTCGGCCGGTGGAGAGCTTAACTTTGGATGGCTCGACCGTGGATGACTTGCGGCTACTGGTGAGGGCTTGGCTGGTAAGGACTCGGCCATGATGAAGACGGCCTTGGCTATGGGCGACAAGAAGACGGCCTCGGCTGTGGATAACAGGCTGATAGCACTGACCGCCGGTGGATAGCTTGGCTGGACGGAATCGGCTGCAGTTGGCTCGGTTAATTTCGGAACGGCAGTGACGGGCGCGGTTGACTAACAGTGACGGTGACGGGCTCTGACTCGTCCGAGTTAGACTCGGTCGGGTTCAATGGCTATGCTCGGAAGGATCGATGGCAGAGGGCTCAGAAGGTGGAGAGATGGGGACGACAAATAGCTCGAGTTCAATTGGCTGGGTTTTGGTTTTTAATGGGTTCAATTGGCTGGATTTTTTGTTGGTTTTTCATGGGATCAATTGATGGGTTTTGGTTATGGTGGTAGAGGTTGCAGTGGTGGGTGGAGAAAGAAAGAAAGGGTGGGCAGTATTGGTGGCAGCAGTGGCGGTAACATAGCCAGGTTCAATAGCTGTCTCTTTTTGTATGTATGTACATATAGATATATGTGTGTAATTACCCTATTGTTTTGTATGTATGTATATATAGATATATGTGTGCAATTTTGAATTGTTGGGTTTGTGTGATGGTGGTGAAACAATGAAGAAGATGGTGGTTGTCCAGGTTATGGTGGTGGTGAGTGGTGGTTGTGTATATTGGCTGAGGTTACTTTGGTCATTTTACGTGGTCAAAGGGTAAACATGTACTTTCATCCTGTTTGTGTGTCATTGTTTAAGTTTACAAATTTGGGGGGTCTCATTGTCCAAAAAAGAGCTAACTTACATATGCCTGTCAATACGGTAAATGTGATACCCCTCGGATCCGAGACACGGGTTGATCAGGCCCAGGTCCAAACCCGAGGGATATCAAACAATTAATACTTTAAAACGAACACGGAATACAAAATGAATTTAAAAATAAAATTTAAAAGCTGAAAGAAAACTAAAAAATAATCCTTAATAATTTAAATATTTAAAATTCGATAAACCAAAACTCCATAAGTTAAACAATTCGGGAATCCATCTCCAGTGGACCCCTAATAAAAAATCCCAAACTGAATGAAAGTAAAGCTGAAGATAAAATCCAAATCTATTATCTAGAAAGAAGTCTTACATCGTCGGTAGAGTGAATAGAAACCTCTGCCCAGCACGAACACGTCTAAGTCTGGAACTGTCGTGTACCTGAAAAATAGAAGTGGGTCAGGCCCACGCGCAAGTTCTATATTACTACAATCCAAACAGAGGCCCGATACGCATGTACACTCTAAACAATTCAACATTAACTAATAGTCCGTAAATATATATATAGTCACACTAAAGGACTCTCACTGGACTACAGGCCGGTCTCAACCTGAATAGAGGTAACATGCTAAAACACACACGAAGTGGGCATGTGTACCTAAACCTAAACAGGGTACACCTCTAACTATCGTATCCAGCTATGCATCTCTAATACATATATGCTCCCTAACCGTCGATCCCGAGACTCGAGCTCATATCGAGGTACCATAACAATATATTTAAAATCCATCCTGAATCCTAGTAGTGCCGCTCAACCAGTCGTTGCCATGACACTACAACCAATAGGACTTAACTTTTAGTTAATTCAATTCTTAATCCAGAGTAAGTAGGTTTTGGTATTTTGAAGCCAGACCGTCTCTAGTATACCACCGTCCCATACTGGTATATACTATCCAATTATCCAGCAATTGATAATATCAACAATTACAGTAAACATCAACCAAATCCATATCTCCATCAATGATACTAACAAGCATAGTATAGGCATCAATAAACATAATCAGCTATATACATAAACATGTTCAGTTGTATATCCAACACTGATACTAACAGTCATAATGTGAGCATCAAGAAATATAGTCTCCATATATATATACAAACCTACTCAGTTTAGGTTGTTTCATTAAATATGATATAACGATATAATTATTTCAAATTATCATTCAACACTTAACAATTGATATTACATACATTTAGAGTAAACATCAACGAAGTCCATTCCCCCAACAGTTGATACTAACAGTATTAATGCAAGTATCAAGACAGAATCACAGTATGTATATATACATGTTTAGTTTAGATTGTTTTACCAAAATCTCATTAGTGTTAAATTTAAAACTTAATTCCGTTCAACACTAACATATCCCACCCATGTATAATTCAAATACATGATCACGGTACATAGTTAAACATGTTACAATTATATTATCCG